TCACCATGTCGCAACCATGTCCCCTCAGTCAGTCCCCACCTTGTCATGACCGTGTCCCCTCAGACACCTCCACCCTGTCAGGACCGGGTCCCCTCAGATGGTCCCCACCCGGACAGGACTGTGTCCCCTCAGCCCCCCAACCCTGTCAGGACCGAGTCCCCTCAGTTATAGTCACCACCCTGACAAGTGTCCCCTCAGTCACCCTTCACCCTGTCAGGACCGTGTCCCCTCAGAACCCCCCGCCCCCATCAAGACCTTGTCCCCTCAGACAGTCCCCACCCTTCTGGCCATGTCCACTCAGACCCGCCGATCTGGGCCATGTCACCTAGGACCCCCGTGCTGGGTGATGCCCCTTTGGACACCTGGGGCGGAGCCACTTATCTTGGGCCACCAGGTTTTGTTGTTTCCCCCAGGAGTTTCCGCCAGGGAAGTTTGGCACCCGCCCCTCCTCTCGCGTCTCCCCTGTGGACCCCTCGATGCCTGGGGTTGGGGTCCCGAGCCAGCACGTGTTTGGTGGTAGAAACATCAATACCATGACGGGTATAGGAATCCGGCTGCGGGGGGAGCAGCTACGGGTGCACTTGTCATATTAACACTGCACACACGTTCCACCCCCGTAACAGCTGGTGGTGTGCACAGGGTGGTGGTGTTCACAGCGGACTTCTAGAACTAGGTCCTCCTGAGGAACTGGAGCCTTACCTCCCTCGGATGTTAGCTCCCCAGATCCCCCGGCCCCAGCCCGATTTACTCTCCGTGTCCGTGACTTGCCTTTTCTAGAAGCCTCATATAAGTGGGGTCATCAGTATTCATCCTCGTGTGACTGGCTTGTGTCACGTAACGTGATGTCCCCCAGATTCATTCGTGTTCTTACTTATTGCAGAATCCCCTTCTTTTAAGGCTCAGTAATATTCCTCTGTGTGTGTGTGTGTGTGTGTGTGTGTGTGTGTGCATGCGCGTGCACGCACGCACACCACGTTCTCTTCATGGACACTTTCGTTGTTTCTACACCTTGACTTTTGTGAATCGTGCTGCAGTGAACACGGGATGTTAGTATCTTTTCAAGATCCTGATTTCAGTTCTTTCAGTTAAACACTCAGAAGTGGAATTGCTGGGTCATAGGGTAGTTCCATTTTAATTTTTTTGAGGAGCCTCCACACTGTTTTCCACAGTGGCCGCACTATTTTGCATTCTCCCTGATGGCACATGAGGGCTCTAATTTCTCCACAGCCTCACCAGCACTTGTGTGTGGTTTTTAAAAATGTTTTATTTATTTTTAAGAGAGAGAGAAAGCGTGAGCAGGGGAAGGGCAGAGAGAGAGGGAGACACAGAGCCCGAAGCAGCTCCAGGCTCTCAGCTGTCAGCACAGAGCCCGACGTGGGGCTCAAACTTATGAACCTTGAGATCATGACCTGAGCCGAGGTCGGACGCTTAACAGACTGAGCCCCCCAGGCGCCCCTAGAAAAGCAGTTTTAATTGAGATGTAACACCCTGAAGAAGCCAGTTCACAAGCTCAGTGGATCCATCACAACGTAAGCACACGTGTGTGGCCACTGCCCAGGACAAGAGGCAAGAACAGAACCCCAGAGGTTCTTCCCAAAATCACTGCCCCCCAAGAGTAACCACCAGCATATATTGGGGTTGCCTGTTTTTAAACTTCTCATACTTGGGATTAAACAGAACATTTCCCACGTTTGGCTTCTGACGCTGCTCAGTGGTCTGTACTCCGTTCATCTCTGGGGGACATAGTTGTGGTTTGTTCATTTCTACCGTATGTATTTCACGAAAAGCAACGCATCTCTGTTGGGTGTCCATGTGGAAGTGGATCTGGATCGTAAAGTAGGTTAGATTTGGAGGAGACACCGGACTGTCTCCAAGCACTTGACCATTTCACACTCCCGCCCGCGCAACACGAAGAGCTCGGGTTGCCCCTTGTCCTTGCCAACACTTGCTGCTGTCGGCTCGTTGTAGCCATTCTGGTGGGTTCTTGGAAGTATTTCCTTGTGGTTCTGAGTTGCATCGCCCTGATTGGTTAGGAGGTCGCACACCTCTTCCTATGTTTGCTGGATACTTGGATGTTCCATTTTGCGAAGCAGCTGTTCAAATCTTTTGCCCATTTTTGGCATTGGTTTGGTTTTGCCCATTAAAAAAAAAGTATCATTGGGGTTTTTTTTCTTACTGATTTGTAGCAGATTCTTTGTATGTTCTGGAAAAGAACACTTTGTTATGTATTTTGCAAATATTTTCTCCCCATCCATACCTTGCACCTTCATTGTTTTTATTGTGTCTGGTTGAACAGCTCTTAATTTTAATGAAGTCCAGTGTGTCAGCCTTCTGGTTAACGGCGTGTTGTTGATTTTTTGGTACTTGGTTTTTGGTTTGTTTGTTTGTTTGTTTTTTGGTAGCCAGCTTAAGAGATGTTTTTCCACCTCAAGGTCATGATGAAACTATTGCTATTTTCAATTTTTAAAAACTTATTTACTTATTTATTAAAAAAAACCTTTTAATGTTTTATTTATTTCTGAGAGAGAGAGACAGAGACAGTGTGAGCAGGAGAGGGTCAGAGAGAGAGGGAGACACAGAATCTGAAACAGGCTCCAGGCTCTGAGCTGTCAGCAGAGCCCAATGTGGGGCTCGAACCCACGAACCGTGAGATCATGACCTGAGCCGAAGTTGGACGCTTAACCGACTGAGCCACCCAGGTGCCCCTACTTATTTTTTTTTTAAGTTTTATTTATTTATTCTTGAGAGAGCAAGAGAGAGAAAGCACGCTCATGGGAGCAGGGGAGGGGCAGAGAGAGAGGGAGAGAGAGGGAATCCCAAGCTGGCTCTGCGCTGTCAGCGTGGAACTGGATGTGGGGCTTGAAGCCGCGAGCCATACGATCATACCTGAGTGAAAACCAAGAGTTGGACGCTCAACCGACTTAGCCTCCCAGGCGCACCTCTATTGCCAGGTTTCACATGGAGCTGTATTGTTTCATATTTAGATTTACTTCATACCTGGAATTGATTTTTGTGTTGGGTGTAATTACGTTTCTTTCCATTTTTATCCTCCTGGCGCAGATATTCAATAGCGCCAGTGCCACTTAACACTTTTCCCACCATATGACAGTCTCGTCTTTGTGAGAAACCGGGTGTTCTGATGTGCCTGGATCTGTTAAATCTCACTGTTCTGTTCTGTTGGTCAATTTCTCTACCTTTGAGCGAATACCATGCTAGCGACTGTAGCTTCCTAATATGTAGTCGTGGAGCCTGCTAGTGTAAATACTTACACTCTGGTCTCCAGAATTGCGTCGGCTATTCCGGGCCCTTTTGCGCTTCTACATAAAGATTAGAATTATCTTGTCAGTTTTTACATGCACACACCCCTTTCTGGGATTTTGGTAGAATTGCGTGGAACCCATAGATTAATTTGGGGAGAACTGGCACCTTAAAAAGGCTGCGTCTTTCAATCCACGAACACCGCACAGCCTTCCAACTATTTAGATCCTTTACATTTTTTCTTGGTGAGGGCGTCTGGGTGGCTCAGGCGGTTAAGCATCCGACTTTGGCTCAGGTCATGATCTCAAGGTTGTGAGTCTGAGCCTCGCATCGGGCTCTGTGCTGACAGTGCTTTGCTGTTGTTGTTTTTGTGTTTTCTTTCTTATGTTTTCTCTTCCTTCCTCTCTTTCTTAGCGTGAGCAGGGCAGGGGCAGAGAGAGGGAGAGAATCCCAAGCAGGCTCTGCACTGCCAGCACAGACCCTGATGTGGGGATCGAAGTGGGGATCGAACTCACAAACCGTGAGATCACGACCCGGGCTAACATCAAGAGTCGGGCGCTTAACCCACTGAGCCACCCAGGCGCCCAGCAGAGCCCGCTTTCAATCATCCATCCTCCCCTCCCCCTCTCCGCTTGCCTACATGTGCCCGCTCTCAGCAATAAACATTGAATAAGCAAACAAATGAATTTTTTCTTAGTGATGTTTGTGTATTGCAGTGTAGACAGCTTTCCCCTCTGCTGTTGGGTTTATTCCTAGGTCTTTGCTATCTTTTTCTGCTACTGTAAGTGGGATTTAAATTCTCGAAAGTGTCTTGAAAGTTAGCGGTTAATATATAGGCGCACGCTGGATGTGTGTTTTTTGAACTTGCGTTTAGGGGCCTTGCTAAGTTAACTAGTTTATCCTGACAGACTGTTCTGGATTTCCTACCTGCTGTCATGCTATCGTGAGCTGCCACAGCGTGACACATTCCTTTCCAAACCTGATGCCTTTCCTCTCCTTTCCCTCCTGTTTGGCCCCGGCAAGGACCTCAGTACGGCATTAAGTAGAAATGGCGAGCTCTGTCACATTCCCAGGCTCGGAGGCACCCGCAAACCACACGAGCGCACGTGCGCGTGGCCTCATGGGCGCGCGCACGCGGAAGCACACGCAGACGCCAGCACGCATGCGCAGACGCCAGCACGCATGCGCACACCCCAGGCGCACGCATGCGCACACACCCACACGTGCGCACGCACCAGGCGCACGCATGCGCGCTCACAGGCCAACTCAGGAGTCAGGCAGCCGCTCCTGCTGGAAGGAGAGGCGGGCAGATGGAGTGGAGGAAGGGCAGCACTGCGGCTGCGCGTGCCTCTACCTCCCCGAGGGACCTGCGCACGTTGCTTCATTGCGCTGTCTGTCGTGGGGGCGCCTGTAGTGACTTGCCGCATAGGCATCAATCAGAACTGCCGTGCCTGCACGCGCGTCCCTCGCTGTCCCTCCGCCCTCCATCCGGGTACCAACGCGGGTGTGCAGGCAGGAGCAGAGGGGCGGGCTAGGAACTGCGCGGGGCGGGGGGGGGGGAGCTCCGTCGCAGGGGGGCAGTGGCTTGCAGGGATGTCTGACTCGCCCCGGCCCTCCCTCCCCAGCACCACGCCAGTCTGGTCATGAGCCAGGACCCCTACAAAGTGACGGCTTTCGAGAAGCGCTACGCCGTGGCCATGCAGTGGCTGTGGAGGGACGCCGGCATCCGGGCCTGCTATGAGCGTCGCCGGGAGTTCCACCTGCTCGACTCGGCCGTGTAGTGAGTGTGGGGCCGGGGCCGCAGGTGTGGGTGATCTCGTCCCGGGACAGACGGGGCCCAGGCTGGTTGGCTCCCGCTGTGGGACATGCGGTGGGTGGTCTCGCTCCAGAGTGACTTCGTTCCTGGGGGGGGAGGGACACAGCTCCGGGGTGACGTCGTTCCTGGGGGGGACACAGCTCCGGGGTGACGTCGTTCCTGGGGGGGACACAGCTCCGGGGTGACGTCGTTCCTGGGGAGGACATAGCTCCGGGGTGACGTCGTTCCTGGGGAGGACACAGCTCCGGGGTGACGTCGTTCCTGGGGAGGACACAGCTCCGGGGTGACGTCGCTCCTGGGGGGGGACACAGCTCCGGGGTGACGTCATTTCTGGGGTGGACAGCTCCGGGGTGACATTGTTCCTGGGGAGGACACAGCTCCGGGGTGACGTCGTTTCTGGGGTGGACAGCTCCGGGGTGACGTTCCTGGGGGGGACACAGCTCCGGGGTGACGTCGTTCCTGGGGAGGACACAGCTCCGGGGTGACATTGTTCCTGGGGGGGGTCACAGCTCCGGGGTGACGTTGTTTCTGGGGTGGACAGCTCCGGGGTGACATCATTCCTGGGGGGGGACACAGCTCCAGGGTGATGTCGTTCCTGAGGGGGACACAGCTCCGGGGTGACGTCGTTCCTAGGGGGGACACAGCTCCAGGGTGACGTTGTTCCTGGGGTGGACAGCTCCGGGGTGATGTCATTCCTGAGGAGGACACAGCTCTGGGGTGACGTCATTCCTGGGGTGGACAGCTCTGGGGTGACGTCCTTCCTGGGGAGGACACAGCTCCGGGGTGACGTTCCTGAGGGGACAGTGCTTGTCGTCACACAGTAATGCTGTCCTGGGTACGATGTTGGGCATCGAGGGCGATTTGACAGACAGTAGCCTATTCCCAGGCCATCACTTTTCTTGGGACAGTGCCACCCCTGGGGGTGACAGCTTTCCCAAGGTGATGCCTCTTCTCGGTGAGACTGTTCTTAAGTTTAGGCTGTCCTTGAGGTCCTGCTGTCCTGAGGGTGAGGCTTCTTTCTCCTGATGCTTCCACAGCCTCAGGGTGACGCTCCTGGGCCACCTGCACACCCAGATGTCCGGGCCCCTCTTCAGGAGCTCCCCTCCCCCTGCAGGGTCTTCACTGGGCTTTGGGGGGGGGTGCGGGGGTCTGAGAAACAAAGGGGAGGCTGCGGGACAGGCCTCAGGGCTCCTCGCTCCGCAGCTACCTGTCGCACCTGGAGCGCATCACTGAGGAGGACTACGTCCCCACAGCACAGGACGTGCTCCGAAGTCGCATGCCCACCACCGGCATCAACGAGTACTGCTTCTCTGTGCAGAAGACCAACCTGCGGTGAGCCCGGAGCTGGGGAGGGCTGCCTGTGGAGGGGGCAAAGGAACTGGGGCCCTGAAGGATGAATAGGAGTTTCCCGGTTCTCAAGGGGCTTCCAGGCTGAAGGAGGCTGAGCTGGATCCAGACCCCCGAGTCCCCATACAGCCAGGTCTGGGACCCAGAAAAGCCCAGAATGAGGCAACCAGAGCTCCAGGAGGGCAGGCCCTCCTGAAGGAGGGACATCGGTGTTAGGGCTTCAAAGGGTGAATAGGAGTTCAGGAGGATACCTCTTGAAAGGCGCCTCGGTAGGAAGAGACAGAGACTGTGCGGTCAGCGATTTTCCAGGGGGATTGATCCAGGACTGGGGGAAGCTCAGATGGGGTGAGGTTGGAGGTCAGGAGGCTCAGGGCGGGCAGGAGCCATGGTCCAGGCAGGAAGCACTGGTAAGGGCCAGGGCCACGGTCATGGGGATGGAAATGAAAGGATGGTGTATAAAACGGTTTCCGATGTAGAATGGGCAGGACTGGATGAGTGTAAGAGTCAGAGAATCAGAGACGGGGTGACCGCGGGGCCATGGCGGCGGCGCGTGAGATTGCACGGTGACGTCGTTTGGGGGCACGTTGAGTCTGAGGTGTCTGGAAGGGGGTAGACACACACAGGCCTGAGCTGGAAGGCAGAGGTGTGCGTGGCCAGCGCAGCAAGGGGTCCGGGCAGAGCGGTAGCCAGTGTCAAAAACTAAAGTCAAGGTCAGGAAGAGTACACTGAGAAAAGGGACTTCTGGGATTGGCATTTAGGGGCCATCAGTGGCCTGAGCAAGCTCTGTGTCTGTGGGCTGATGGTGGGAGCCGCGGGGGGTGAGGACTGGGCACAGGGGTTGTCACCTCACCCACACCAAGTCCCACACTGTCCTGGATCGACCCCCCAACATGCTCCTCCGGCCTTTGCAATAGTCCTTACCAGGAAGGCTCATAATTTATCTGTTTGCCATCAGTCTCCTCCCCTGACGGAGAGCCCCACCAGGCTAGGGGGTGAGTTTGAGTCTCCTGCTTTGCTAGTGATGATCAGCTCAAGATCAAGGTGGAACTTGGTAAATGTGGGAGGAGAGTAGGAAAGATGGAAGGAGAAGCAAGTGGATGGATGGGTGAGTGTGTGTATGTAGAGATGTGTGCAGGGTGGGCAGACGCGGGCATGGTGGGTGGGTAGATAAATGGATGGATGGGTGGGTAGATGGGTAGATGGATGGGTGAATATGCGGGTGGATGGATGGGTGGATGGGCGGGTGGATGAATGGGTATATAGATGGATAGATGGGTGGATGCATGGGTGACTATGTGGGTGAGTGGAAGGATGGAATGGGTGGCTGGCTGGCTGGCTGGCTGGCTGGGTAGATGGATGGGTGGGTGGATGGATGAATTGGTAAAAGTTTTGGAACGAAGGTAGAGTTTGGGGAAGTCACAGGAAAGGCTGGGCTGAGGTGCTGATTTTTAGGTGGGAAGCCTTGAGTATGTTCTCAGGCGAGGAGAGAGCTAATAGCGGGGTGAGGGATCAGAGGGATCCGATTCGGAAATGGGGGGCTGGCAAGTAACCCCCCACACCTGTCCCTGCAGAGCCCCCCCCAGCAGCCACTGCACCCCCTCCCGCTCTGGGATTGGAGGGGGTCTGAAGAGGCACGAGAGTGGCTGTCTCTGGGATGGGGAGCCACAGGCCCCAGCCCTGGTTTCCCGTCCACACAAAGGGGCAAGTCCCTTCTTGCTCTGAGGCCTCTTGGCATTTCCTGTTGGCTGCCTGGGCAACAGTCCCGTCCCGGGGGAAATGACGCAGGCTCGTTATCAGTGACCCACATTTCTTAGAGAGAGAACAGGAAGGCGGGAGGGCTCGGGCTTTTGTTGTGGTGTGTGTGGGGGAGGAGGCTGGGCCCTCGCCCTGGGCCACACACCGAGGGGACCGCGGTGGCCGGCCAGGACAGCACGGCCACCCCTCAGGGACGGGGAAACTGAGTTCTGAAGCTGTTGTACGGTTTGCCGCCCGGTCACCCAGGCAGAACCAGGGCCGATGCTTCTGAACCTGACCCGCTGTCCTCTGCCACAGTGCGGCAGCTCGGGAAAGTGTCCCCCTCCCTTGCCTCAGTTTCCTTGTGTGTAAGTGGGCAAAACACCCCACGGGGCGGGTGAAACGCAGTGAACACACAAGAGGCATTGGCCCAGTGGCTGCCACCGATTCTTGCTGCTGTTGATATCGGCCTCGACGTGTCCCCGCCATCTGGGGCGCCGCGTCTCAGGGGCCCGAGTTCTGACCGGGGCTGACTTCTGGCAGGATCGTGGACGTCGGGGGCCAGAGGTCAGAACGCAAGAAGTGGATCCACTGCTTTGAGAATGTGATTGCCCTCATCTACCTGGCCTCCCTCAGCGAGTACGACCAGTGCCTGGAGGAGAACAACAGAGAGGTGAGGGCCACCGTAGGTGTGGGGACGCCGCCTCCCGCCGGCCCCCAGGCGTGCACCCGAGCAGGAGAGCCCACGGCCACTCCTGATGGGGTCCGGGTTCGTCTGGCGTGGCCCCACCCTCCCGTCTTCCGTGCTCAGAGCCTTGAGTCCCAAGACAGGTGCACACACATGCGCTTGTGTACAGGGACCCTGGACGCACACACACGCACGCGCAGACATGCACGCGAAGGGGCGCTGGAGCCCCGAGACGCGGCCCCCCAGGAAGCACAAGGCAGCTGCCCGGGAAAATGGGTCCTCGCCTCAGGGGCAGTGTCCTGCTTTTATTCCGAAAGGCTGGGCATCGCCCCCTCTCTCGGGAGCTCTTCTCCGAATTTAGACCCTCCCATTTCTGACATCTGCGCTCTTAGGGGTGAAAGCTCCACGTGGCCGGTTTGGGGAGCCAGGGGTCAGATGCCGCCGTCTTGACTTTCGGACGGAATCAAAAGGTGGATCTGAGGTCGTCCTGCCACAGACCCTGCTCCAGTGCGGCCGCACGAGGCGTCCCGGTTGGCTGGGCTGTGTGGGGCCGGAGCTCCAGAGACTTCTCTGCCAGTGCCGGAGGCCGCACACCCCGACCGGCGTGTTGGCCAGGCTCAGGCCTCCTGAGCCAGTGAGGGAGACTCTGTCCCAGGCCCTCCCCGCTTCTGGGGGTCGCTGGCCGTCCTCAGTGTCCCTTTGCCTGTGCGCACGTCACCATCTCTGCCTCCGCGGTCACATGGACTTTTTCCCACGTATCTGTCCAAATGTGCCCTCTTTATAAGGACACCTGCACTGAACGTGGCAATGTACTTACTATGATTTCTACTAATTACAGCTTCAAAGACCCTCTTTCCAAACACGGTCCCATTCTGGACTTCCGGAGTGGTGTGCCCGTGGGGACACTAGTCAAAGCAGTAGGGGCCACATGAAAGCACGGGCACACCTCCCCCACCTCCCCCCCGACCCAGCCGGGAATGGCGGAGCCCTGAGCTCCTGGACGGTTAGGCTGACAGCCCCGTCTCCACGTCGGGGAGGGCTCCCGGCTGGGCCAAGGGGGCCGTCAGAGCCATGACCTGCCTGTTCCCCACAAACAGAACCGAATGAAGGAGAGCCTGGCCCTGTTTGGGACCATCCTGGAACTGCCCTGGTTCAAAAGCACGTCTGTCATCCTCTTCCTCAACAAGACTGACATCCTGGAGGAGAAGATCTCCACCTCCCACTTGGCCACCTACTTCCCCAGTTTCCAGGGTGAGTGGTTCTAGAGCTCTCTGGGCCCTTCGGCTCCCACCAGCAGCTCCCAGGAGAGATGCTGGGCCAGACGCTACCCCCAGCTGGAGTCCGTGGAGTTTCAAACGGGTTGGGACAGACCTGAGTTCCAGACCCAAGCCGGGAGTCTCAGTGTCCCCCCTGTAGAGCTGGGGGTGGGGATTGGCAGCCTCCGTCATTCTCGAAGCACCTGCTTCAAGCAGGAGTCCTAAAGAAGCAAGGGTCACAGCTCTTCTGCATGCGGCCCGCTGTCACGCATCATCAGGAGCCACACCTGGAAGTCTCAACACCTGGTTCCGGAATCTGCCTACGTTTTTGAAACTTCTCTTTTTGTGTCTTTCATAGTCACTGCGTCTATGTCTGATCAGCAGAATACTTTTTAAAAAATTTTTAGTTTTGAGAAAAAGAGCAGGGGTGAGGCAGAGAGGGAGGGAGACAGAGGGTTGGAAGCGGACTCCGCACTGAGCACGAGGGGCTCGAGCTTACTATCTGCAAAATCATGACCTGAGTTAAGTCGCACGCCGAACCGACTGGGCTGCACAGGCGCCCCTCGGGTGGCAGACTGCTAGGGAAACGGGTGACTGACCTCGGAACAAGCCCTTGCGCGGCACAAGGTTTTCATGGACACGGGCACCCTCTTTCCCGTGGGGCTTGGAGCTCATAGGTGTGTGCGGTGTCTCGGCAATTCTTGCCTGAATTAGGACAGGACAGTGTCACAGAGTGGGTTTGGGGGCAAGCCCTCCACGCAGCCCGCGGGGCACAGGGCCTGGCCTAGAGTCAGGCACAGGTCAGTGGATCCTGCAGAGGGGGGATGGGGTTCTGGGGAGGGGGGTACTGGCTAGCACGTCCCCCCCAGGGCCACTGCAAGGATGCAGGGTCTGGTAGAAGTGTCCCAGGTGAGTGACACACAGTCCCCAACGTTAGGAACTTTAAGCAGCCTCTGACTTCGCTCACGTTTGCGTGGGGCAGGAACTTGGGAAGGGTTGAGGGGGGACGTCTGATCCGTGTGGCCTCAGCAGAGGTGCTGGGATCCAGATACAGGTGATTCCCCTGAGCTCCCCTCCCTCCCCCTCCCTGCCTCCCGCTCCTTCTCTCTCCCCTCCCCTGCCCCCTCCCTTGCCCCAATTGGGGTCTCTGAATCCAGGGCCTCCTCACGAGGCTTGGGCTTGCTCACAGTGTGGCTGTTTCAGGAAAACCAGACTTCGGCCCGGGGAGGGAGTGGCGGGGGGGGCACTCTGCTCTGGCAAATCAGTCAGGCCTGCTCGTAGTCAAAAGGAGGCAAACAGACTCCTCTCTCGGCAGGGGGAAGCGCGATGGCATCCTTTCTGGGGACAAGCTGGCTTCACTTCCTGGGGCCGCAAACTGGGAGGCTGAAAACAACAGGCGTGTTTGAGATGGGGATGTGGTGGATCTGTTCTTTCTGGAAGCGCCGAGGGAGGGTCGGTCTCAGGTGTCTCTCCTGGTTTCTGGCGTTACCAGTAATCCTTGGTGTCACTGGGCTTATAGGTGCAGCCCTCCAATCTGCCTCTCTTGTCACACGGCCTTACTGTCTGTGGGTTTTTCCTTTTCTTATAAAGACGCCCGTCATTGGCCGTAGGGCCCGCCCCAGTCCAGTGTGACCCCATTTCAAGCTAACCAATTACATCGCAAAAGACCTTAATTCCAAATGAGGCCACTTGGCAGTATCTGAAGTTCTGGGGAGACACAGATTTGGGGCAGACACAAGCAGCATGGTAGATGGAGGTCTTAAGTTTGGTGACATCACCACAGGTGTGACGCCTGGCCTTGTCAGGTCTCAGAGCCCATGAGGCCAAGCGCAGCCAGTCATGCCCAGAAGACTTAGGGCCTGAGAGGCAGATGCAGCTTGTCCCAGCACGGGGGACGCCCCTTACTCCCTTCCCAGCTGGGCAGCCGTGGGGAGAGGATAGAGCGGTTTTGAGGGACTGTTTTCCTTCATGTCAAAGGAAACCCTCATGACTCATCCTTTTCTCCCAGGCAGAAAGGCTGGGGTCCCCTTTGCCAACTTCTGGGTCTCCGTCCCTCCCTGTGTGTACTGAGTAATTTGTGATTATAGCAACAGCTAACGAGTCTAATGCTCTTGGGAGCACCCTCATGTAGGGACTCGTCTGAGCCTCATTAAAAAGCGCTGTGCGGTGGACTTCCTCCTCACTACTGTAGAAGTGGGGAAACTGAGGCACTGAGAGGTACAATCGCTTGCCAAATGTCACATGGCCAGCGAGGGGCCAAGGCAGGATTAGAACCTGGGCTGTCTGGATCCGGCGCCACCAGCCCTCACCACTGGGTACCCCGCCTTTCTGGGAGAATGAGAATAACATTCTGATTGTGGAGCAGAGAGCCCTCCACATTCTTGCAATGAATCCTCACAACTCTGGGAGGCTTGAGACAGGACCCCCATTTTACAAACGAGGAAACTGAGGCTCACCACGGTTACATGGACTGACATAAAGGCAACCAGACTAGTAAGTAGCAGAACCAGGACTTGGGTTCTGGAAGCCCTTAGCTCACCTTGTGCTGGGGAGAGAAAGGGAGCCCGAGCGTGGCGGGTTCCTCACCAGGGTGGCCATCCCTCCGCTTCTCTCGGCCTCAGTTTATCCATCTGCACCTCTCAGGACTGTCTTTCTCTGCAGCTCCAGACTCCCATCCCCTCAGCTGCAAGCCCAGCCACGTGAGAGGGTTTCTTTCTTTAATGCGGTGCTGCCCAAAGTCCCAGAGCCGAGTCTTACTGGTCCACTCCAGGTCACGTGACTCACCCGAGTCCTTCCTTGATGGTCCCGTTGGCTGGACCTGAAGGTCATGTGACCCTCCAGAGAGACCAAAGATGGCACCGGCCAGCACCACGTGGTCCCTGGGGCCCCTGCAGCCCGGTCGTCATCGGTGCATGGAGCAGGGTCTCCACATCCCCGTCCTTGACCCAGGAGGGAGGGTCTCCCGCCTGCCCCGCCGGCCGCGTGCCCTGACTGCCCTCCGCCCCCCCCATCCCCCCAGGCCCGAAGCAGGACGTGGAGGCGGCCAAGAAGTTCATCCTGGACATGTACACCAGAATGTACGCCAGCTGCGTGGACAGCGCCGACGGGGCCCGGAAAGGTCCACGCTCCCGGCGACTCTTCAGCCACTACACGTGCGCCACGGACACACAGAACATCCGCAAGGTCTTCAAGGACGTGCGGGACTCGGTCCTGGCCCGCTACCTGGACGAGATCAACCTGCTGTGACCCAGGCCCCGCTGCCCCCGGGCTCCGACCCGCACGTGGGGGGGGAGGTCTGTGGACTGGTGCTCAGTGACCGCAGATGCCCTTTGTCGCTCGGTCCCAGGTCCTGGGAGCGGAAGGACTGTGAGTCCGTCAGAGGCTGAAGGCCAGGTGTCACCCCCTCCTTTGTCTGCCCCTCACTGGGACAGCCCCTGAGTCAGCCCCTGGGTTGACTCAGTTTACCTCCTCGGAAAGGGAGCACAAGGGCCACTTGGGATGACAGGGTGGAGGAAGAGGTGGGGAGAACGGAGGACCTGGCCCGCCCTGGGCAGAGGCTGGGACCCCCACGGAGGTGCTGCCCCAGCCCCGAAGCGGGGCAGCGGTCATTCCATCCCAGGGACCGGGCTCTGGCGCCCCCTAGCGGACAGGAGGTGGCACCGACCAGCTGCAGGCCCGGGTGGCGCAGGGGCCTCCCAGCTCCGGAATGGAAGAAAAGACCCCGAAAACCCTGTCCCTTTCACGGCCTGGGGCTCACAGTGCGTCCTGCCCCGTTCACAGACGAGGGAAACCGAGGCCCATAGGCATCACCCTGGGGGCCGGGCGCGCTGCGTCTTCCATCCCTTCTGTATTTATTCCCTCCCCTTCTGTGGGGCCCCTTGCAGGACATTAAAGAAACGACACTCTGGACACCTGTGATTTTTTAGGGACGTCCTGTTGATCACTGTGCGGCCCGTCCCGGGTGGGGTATCGACATGGAGGAGGGGAGGAGTGCGTGTGGTCCGCCCGCCTGTGCAGGGCAGGCCCTCGGAGCTGGGGACTGAGGATGCTGTGGGCCAGGGGGCGGCCGCGTCTGTCCCTGGCCTGGGGGCGGGGAGGACATTTAAGCCCGCCCTGTGTCGTTACCCCGGATTCGAGCAGCCACCACCCACGTCAGATGAAGGTGGAGATTGGGATGGTGGTGATGGTTCCACTTACCCCGGAAGGCGGGCCCCCCTCCAGGGCCCACTGGGTCACAAGCCAGCCCACCTCTGTTTTCAGCTGGGGAAACGGAGGCACAGAGAAATGGAATCACTTGACTAAGGCTCCAGCCTGCAGGAGGCAGAGCCGAGATACTGATTCATCCAATGCTTTTTTTTTTTTTTTTACTTTTAAAAATATGAACTTTATGTTTCAGAATAGCCCCATTTACAGAAACCTTGTGAAGTTGGTACAGAGTTGCCTTAAGTAACCACAGCCGGTGTCCCCTAGTGTTAACATCTTAATATGGTGCTTTAAAATTTTCTTTTAATTTTGATTTTATTTCACAGAGGGGGGTGACGGGGAGAGGGGTGAAGGGAAAGAATCTGAAGCAGGCTCCACACTGTTAGTGGGGCCTGACGTGGGGCCCGATCTCACCACCACGAGACCGTGACCTGAGCTGAAACCAAGCGTCGGGCGCTCGGCCGACTGGGCCACCCAGGCGCCCGTGTTTGGTCATTTTTAACAACTTGGTTTCATTCAGAGATTGACAAGTAGGGGAGCATCTCGTCCGGCAGACAGACAGACAGAAACTCCTGACTTGTTTTCGTTCGATGACGCGGCAGGTTTGAAGCGCGCTGGTCCGGGCAGCCAAGATAAAGTGCCACGCTCTGAGTGACTTCAGTCGCAGATTTGTACTCCCTCTCAGTTCTGGACGGCAGAAGTCACGGTGTGGCCGAGCACCGTCCCTCTGAAGGCCCCAGGGCGGGATCCCTCCCGCCTCTTCCAGCTTCTGGGTCCCCCAGGGACCCCATGGCCTGAGGCGCAGCCCCTCCTCCGTCTCCATCTCTGTCGTCACATGACCCCTTCTCTCGTGTGTGTGTGTGTGTGTGTGTGTGTGTGTGTCCACGTTTTCCTCCCTCCCAGGGGGCAGCGGTCGTACTGAATGGGGGCCTCCCCCAGTGACCTCGCCTGAACTTGATTACACCTGCAATGACCCTATTTCCAGAGAAGGTCACGCACCCGCTGTCAGGGGTTGGGGCTCCACCTGCCCTCTTTGCAGGTATTTTGGGAAAGTCCCTCGGTGGTTTGCATGGCGCTTTCCTTGCCATTAGGCTGAAGTTCCGGGTTCAGGGGGCAGGACCACGGAGGCAAGGGGCCACTTCCCCCTCATCGTAGCTGGAACACCGGTGTGACACCGCTGTGGACATCGGGCCCCTGGCTGAGGGGTCCCCCAACTCTTTTTGAAAACTTTTTTTTTTTTATCGTGGAAAATATCAAAGCTACAAAAACAGGGAGGTGAGGCGAGGCTGCAGCCGGACTTCTGTGAGCTCAAGGCATGTTTGCTTCCGTACGTCTCTTCCTCCAGAAGCAACTATTAAGAATTGTTTACTTTTTCAAAAAATTTTAAATGTTTATTTTTGAAGGAGAGAGAGCACGAGAGGGAGTGAGCGCAAGTGGGGGAAGGGCAGAGAGAGAGGGAGACGCAGAATCCGAAACAGGCTCCAGGCTCTGAGCTGTCAGCACAGAGCCCAACACGGGGCTTGAACCCCGAACCTTGAGATCATGATCTGACCCAAAGTCAGATGCTTAACTGACCGAGCCCCCCGGGCGCCCCTTAAAAGTTGTTTTCTTAACAACTGTGTTGATAGAAAGATCAGTGAAATGCAGAGGGGGCTCCGTGTTACAGATTCGTGATGATTGTATTTGCTTCCTTCTTCTAAATCCAAAAAGAAATTAAAGACATTCGCACAGGCCCCTGAAAGTATCATGACCCTGAGCTGGGGACAGAAACCCCTTCCCTACACGGTCGGTATTGACCCCTTCCGGCCCTCCGGCCTCCTGGCCCCACCGCGCCCGACTCGTGGTGACTCTGATTATCCCTGGTATCACGCCGTTTCATCATCACGCACTTCAGGGCACTGTTCTGAAACAGAAGGCCTCCCTCTTCCAAAGTGTAACCATAATGTAACATTATCGCAGCAACGAAGAGTAGCGATGGTTCGTTAATATTAAATACCCAGTGTCCAGATTTCTCCATTTGTCCTGTACGCGTCTTTTTTTTCTTACCTTTGTATTTTGCAGGAAGTTTGGGTCTCCAGAAAACCTGCAGGCGTAGAGCCCAGCTCCCAGGTGGCCCTGGGCCCGCGTCCCCTGATGTTGGGTAACCGTGCAACACGCCAGGCTCGCGAAACAAGAAATCCAGTGTCCGCGGTGCCGGTCAGCTGGCCCGGGGGCTTTGTTCCGAGCGGGCCAGCTTTCCCCGATGCCCTCTCCCTGGTCCAGAATCCCGCGTCGTTAGTGTTGGCCCTGGGCCTGCCCGGGTTCGGTTCGGTTCCCGAAACTTAGGTTTCGGGATGTTTGCTCTCGATTTGACTGACGCCGTGCATTTTTGGAAGGAATCCCGCAGGAGGGATGCTGGGACCCCATCAGGGTGTCTCCCGACTGGGCCCACCGGGGCAGCGGGTCTGGTCGGCGGAGGTCGCATCCCGAGGGCGTTTGCTCGCAGACAGAGCCCACACGTGGCGTTTGGCCGCCGTAACTCTTCAGCTGTAAGCGTCCCCGACCTGTTCCTCGCTGCCAGTTCTCTGTCGACGAAACCAGGTCACTCGTCCCGTATCCCAGCCTCCTGACCCGGCGAGTGGCGACCTGGATGTCGACGAACGTGCCCCCTCCCCCACCCCGGCACCCCTGCAGGCTGATCTGTCCGGAGACGTGAGTGGATTTTTAGGCGGTTGCTGTAAGCCTCCACCCGAGGACACAGAACACCTGCTTGCTTCTCGCTCTGCGAGTCTCTGGGTCTCTGTCCGTCTCCGGGAAACACGTAGCAGAACAGCAAGTTCACTCGCTCGCTCTCCTTCGTGTTAATGATCATCTCTGGACGGAGGCGAGCATCAGTCTGATTCGTCCATCATGAGTTTCCCTGTGAGCCTTTCTCCTAACGGTCTTAGCAGCCACTGGAGAACATTCCTTGAATACAGCATTGGGGATGGTAAGAGTGGGGGTATTCTAATGCTTTCATTTTCTCTGAATTTATTGCCTGGAATTATTCTATTTAAAAAAAAAAAAAAACCAGAAGAGTCAAAAGGGTCTTGAAGAGGTACGTGCACACCCATGTTCCCAGCAGCGTTATTCACAGCCGCCAGGAGGCAGACAGCCCACATGTCCAGTGATGGACAAAGGATAAACTCGATGGGGTCCATGCACACGCTGCAGTGTTGTTCAGTCTTAAAGCTTAAAGAGTTAAGTTATCTCGGGGCGCGTGGGTGGCTCAGGCCATTGAGCGTCTGACTTGATTTCAGCTCAGGTCATGATCTCATGGTTCGTGGGATCGAACTTGGGGTTTTCTCTCTCTCCCTCTCTCTATATCCCTCCCCTGCTCACTATCTCTCTCTCTCTCTCAATAAATAAATAAGCTTAAAAAAAAAAAAGTTAGGACACCCTGCCACCTGCCACCACGTGGAGGGCCCTGGAGGACACTGTGCACAATGACAGAAGTCAGACACAGAAGGACATGTCCTGCGTGACCCCTCACAGGGGGTCCCCAGAGGAGTCCCGTCCACAGAGACAGAGTAGATGGTGGGAGCCGGGGGTGAGGCAGGGGGCGGGCGTTAATGTTTCATGGGGACAGAGTTTTAGTTTGGGGAGATGGAAGGCTCTGGAGACAGATGGTGGAGGTGTCTGCATGACAGTGTGAATATGCTTGACGCCACTGAGCTGTGCGCTTGGAGACAATAAAGATGGTATATTTTATGCTACGATTTAAGAAAAAAATTTTTGTTTCTATTTTACTATGAGAGACAGAGTGAGAGACACAGAGTGCGAGCAGGGGAGGGGCAGAGAGAGGGGGAGACACAGAATCTGAAACAGGCTCCAGGCTCTGAGCTGTCAGCACAGAGCCCGACGTGGGGCTCGAACTCATGGACCATGAGATCATGACCTGAGCTGAAGTCAGATGCTTAACCGACTGAGCCACCCAGGCGCCCCTGATTTTATCACAATTAAAAATAACTTTAAAAACTTCGTGTGACAGGGGAAAAACCCACCTCTCCCCTATCGAGTAACTGGTTACCCAGAAATAGAAGCCGCATGGGAGAGACGGATGAACGTCTGCTCTTCCGCTTCGGGACTTGGCCTTCGCAGCCTCAGAGCAGCGACGGCGTCCCCATCATCCCGGGATGCGAACCACGACTCCTGGAGGTTTACTGCTCCGTGTGTTTCTTGCCCTTCACTCAGCCACCAGGGGCGGCCTCTGCAGCTTGGCGCCTGGGTCCTGCGGACTCGCCCCCACGAGCCTGAGGAGTTCCTAGCCTGTGGCGGCCGTTAGCTCCTCCCTCACTCGCCCAGCCCCAACCCTGCACCCGGCCATGTCTCCAAGGAGCCCTGCTTCTTTTGAATGGGAAGTGATATTTAGGGACCACAACCTGACCACAAAGTGAGGCAACAAGTTGCGAAACGATGACAGTGAACTCCCGTATACCCTTCATCTAGGTCAGGGATCCACCACCGGCCTGCGCTCCGCCTGCTTTGGCAAATAAAGTTTTATTGGCACAAGGCCAAGTTCATTTACATATTGTCCCTGCCAGCTTCCACTACAACAGCGGAGTTGAGTAATTGTGACAGAGACCGTCTGGGCCGCACAGCTGAAAACATTTACTATTTGGCCCCTTGCAGAAAAAGTCTAACTCCCAGATACACCCGTGGTTAACCTTTTGCTTTGGGTCTCGCTGGACACGGATCCTAAGGGTATGTAATATGTTCTATAGAAAACCTTTTTTTTCTTAATTTTTCTAAATAGTTTAAGAGTGAGTTGGACACATCACGAACCTTTACTCCAAAGCACCATGCATTTCCTATGCAAACACCTCCAGATATGCAAGCCAAGGGTGATGGTCAAGTTCAGGAAATCTAGCACTGACGGAATAATGTTATTCAATCGACAGCCCCAGTGAAAATCCCGTCAGACGTCCCGGGGTTGACTTTTACAGCACCTTCCCCCACACAGCGTCCGTCCCGGTCTGGGGATCACTCGCTGCACTTGATTCCATGCATCCTGCTTCTCCTATGATCCAAGGCTATCGCTCACGACCTCTCTTGACCTCAACTCTTTGGAAAGTGTACAGGCCACTTTTCTGGGGGATGTGACTCAGGGTGAGTCTGTCGGCTGGCACGCACCTCCGGTGGGAATCTCCGAGCAGTGACCGGTCCCCAGGGGCGCCTCCCATCAGGAAGGCACGATGCCCGTGAGCCACACTCCCGGGGATGTTAACACCACATCCTCCGGGCTTCTGGTGGGAGACGTTTGTTCTCTTCACAGTTAAAAAGTACTCTGGGGGGCACGTGGGGGGCTCAGTCGGTTAAGCGTCCGACTTCAGCTCAGGTCATGATCTCACGGCTTGTGGGTTCGATCCCCGCGTCGGGCTCTGTGCTGACAGCTCAGAGCCTGGAGCCGCTTCAGATTCTGTGTCTCCCTCTCTCTCTGCCCCGCCCCCACTCACACTCTGTCTCTCTCTCTCCCTCAAAACTAAACATTTTAAAAAAAGAGAGAAAAAGTAATCCGTGGGAAGATGCTTTGAGATTATGCAAATGCCCTGCTCCCCAGTCATTCCACCCAGTCATCGAACTGCCTGGGCCAGTTACTGCTGTCGAGGTCACACGTGATGGCTGCCCTGACTCTCCCTGGGGGGACGTCTACCAGGGGAGAGGCCGGATCACATGGAAAGATTCTTCTCTTTTTTATTTTTCCTAACCGGTTTTATTGTTATAAAACCATTTCAACATAGAACTGACCACCTTAATCACTTTAAATGCGTTAACTTCAGTGGCGTTAAACCATCCCAAACGCTGTGCAGCCATTCACCTCTTGTGAAGCCGAACTCTGTCCCCATCAAACCCTAGCTGCCCCTCCCCCTGCTCCCCGCCCCCCGCCACTGGTGCCCACCCACTACTCCAGTCTCCCACCTTCGAGGTCACCCAGTACGGCGGCCCAGATCGCTCTGGGCTTGGGCGGCGGCCGCCCCGTCAGCCTGGCCCCCATGCCTCTGACAGGTCCCCGTCCTGACCTCCTGGCACACCGTGAACTTGCAGACTCCCGTGGCGCTCTCCCGCCCCCACCCCTGGAACCGGCCGTTTCCCCCAGGAGCCCTGCAGGCGGTATTCAAAAGGCAGGATCTGGGCGCCAGATGTAACTGTTGTTACTGGCTTGTCTCAGTGGACAGAGCTATGAAATAGATTTTTTGTTTAAATCACCACGGGGCCTGGGGCGCCTGGTGGCTCCGCCGGTTAAGCACCTGACTCTTGGTTTCGGCTCAGGTCATGATCTCACGGTTTGTGAATTCGAGCCCCACGTGGGGCTCTGTGCTGATGGAGTGGAGCCTGCTTGGGATTCTCTCTCCCCCTCAAAATAAATAAACTTAAAACAATAAACTAAAATAACTCATCACAGTCCACGCGGATCCGCTCCCTCCAGGGTTGTTTCGAGTGCTCTGTTCCACGTTGACATCCTCTCCCCCCCCGCCGAAGACCTCTCGTAATGACATCAGTAGCCTTGCCACTTCGCTCAGTCCCATAATACACACGAGACTTTCAGAATTACTACACCCTGCCAGTCCTGAAAACTCATGTACCAAACAACATCCACTTTTTTTTTTTTTTTTTGTCAGTTCCTTCTGTGTTTAGTGCCGTGCCCAGAAGTTGCACAGGCTGGGTCTGCTCTGTTTCTGGGCAGGCATGGTTTTCAGCTGTTTTGCACTTCTGATCCAGCTCCTCAAGCGTTTCCCCCGCACCCTGTTGAGTTAATGTCATCGTAGGACATAGAAGGCATACACAGAGTGTGAAGGCTGAAGAACGTTCAGAGGGAGTCGGTCCCACCTCTTTCCATTTCAACTCTACCCGCCCCGCGGAGGGAAGCAATTTCATTGGTTTCTGGTTTATCTGTCCCGTGTTTCTTTTGCAAAAGCCAGCAGATATGTGTCTATCTTATTTCCCCTTCTTTGTTTTGCAGAAGGCAGCATACTACCTATAGCCTTTTGTGTTTTCCCCACTTAACCCCACGTCCCGGAGGCCAGGCCGCTCCCAGCCGCTCGCTCCCTCTTGGTCGCAGCTGCGTGGTACTCCTCGAACTTGGCAGCATCGCCATCGGCCTCTCTCCTGGGTGCGCCTGTGGGCTGCTGCTAATATTTTGCCTTCACAAGCAACCGTGAATCACCTCTGGCATGCATGCTCGTGCACGGTTAGAGCTGTGTCTCTGGGGAAGTTTCTAGATGGGGTAGTGCTCTTTTGTTGCCTGGGGATAATTGTGAGACTAAATACGGTGCAGTGCACACACGGCCTTCCGCAGGCAGCAGGCAAAACGTGGCAGAGGGTCTTTGTTGGATAGCTTGGCCTTGTTAGTCAAGCTCTGCTCTCTCGTAACATTTACTGTAGTCCTGAATTTGCTCTCTGAGACTGGGGTCAGGGATCAGTCTAGGGTTAGGGCTGAGCCTGGACTCGGGGCTCATTCTGGGCTCAGGGCTCCATCTGGGCTAAGAGCTCAGTCCAAGATCAGAGTTAAGCCCAAGATCATGGCTGAGCCTGGGCTCAGGGCTCAGTTTGGTTTCGGGGCTGGGCCTGAGATCAGGGCTCGGTCCAGGATCAGGGCTCTGTCTGTAATCAGGGCTGAGACTTGGATCAGGGTTCAGTCCAGGATCAGGGCTCAGTCTGGGCTCAGGTCTCAGTTCAGGATCAGGGCTCAGTCTGACATCAGAGCTGAGCCTGAGATCAGGGCTGAGTCCAGGATCAGGGATTATTTCAAGGTCTAGGCTCAGCCTCAGTACACACAGTGCCTCTGTGAATGTGCCTGAGCTGGGTGGTTCCTTGTGAAGTTGAGGCTGAGGCTCCGTTCTCAGGGATCTGGGGTGCTCCCTGAGCGAGACTCAGCTGCACGTCCCCCTCCTCAGCCTCACAACCCCACGGCCCGGCAGCCCTGTTCCCACAACCTCCTCCTCAGACCTGCTTGGTCACCTCCAGGGACAAGACACGACTGCCTCCCCAGGCAGCACCTGTATCTGTGGCTTTCTGGACCTGCCCTGCTCCCAGGGCTGAACACTGAACAACGGGAAGGGTTGAGGCTGGTCTGCCCTCGGCCTGTCTGGCGACTGCCGGGACTTGCGGGGATGCTGGAGCCCCTTGTGTGAATCTGGGGATCCCCACTCAGATTCCCCACGACAGGCCTGACTCGTGCCACCCCCTCCCCTCCAGGGGTGAGGGGAGCGGCCCCGGCTCAGCCACAGGAGCGGCAATCCCGAGGGTCCCGGCCGAGACCTACACGTGTCCATGTCTGGGTGTCCCCCTCCACCTGTGTGTTCTCCTGGGCGACGGGGGACAGCGGGCCTCGCCTCTCCAGGCCTCAGTTTCCCCTTCTGTGGACGGTATACAGCAGGCCAGGCCCGGCCCTGTCAGGGGAATAAAATGAGATGTGCCTATGCCTTCCATGAGGTATCTGGGGGTGCTCGTGTGTGGGCGGTCACTGAACACACTTATTAAGCACCCACTGTGTGCCAGGCAGGCTTGGAGAATAACAGGATCCTGGAGGCGGTAGCCTGTGGGGGCAGGGGAGGTGCCCGGCCCGGGAGAGGGTGGCGCGTGCCTGGAGGGGCCCGTCTCCCTTCCCCTCTGGGCCCTCCCCCCTCCCCCGGCTGTCAGTAGCACAAGGGGGCGCAGATAGGGTGTCGCGGCAGGGGCCCCCCGCCTCACCCTCCCGACCGTTGGGATGCCCCTCCCTGTCCCCGGCCTCACCCCCAGCTGGGGGTACCTTGAACATAACAGGAAATTTCAAATAACAGGAAACCAAGGCCAGGCAAGGCGAGCGGCCCCACCCTGCCCAGGGGTGAGTCGCCGCGGGGCGCAGTCTGTCCCAGGGGACCCGCCATGAACAGCACGGGGCCCCCGGCGGTGGCCGCCGAGTCCTGCCAGCAGCTGGCGGCCAGCGGGCACAGCCGGCTCCTCGTGCTGCACTACAACCACTCGGGCCGGCTGGCGGGGCGCGGCGGGCCCGACGAGGGGGCCCTGGGGGGCCTGCGCGGGCTCTTCGTGGCCATGAGCTGCCTGGTGGTGCTGGAGAACCTGCTGGTGCTGGTGGCCATCGTGACCCACATGCGGTCCCGCCGCTGGGTCTACTACTGCCTGGTCAACATCACGCTCAGCGACCTGCTCACGGGCGTCGCCTACCTGGCCAACGTGCTGCTGTCCGGGGCCCGCACCTTCCTGCTGGCGCCCGCCCAGTGGTTCCTGCGCGAGGGCCTGCTCTTCATGGCGCTGGCCGCCTCCACCTTCAGCCTGCTCTTCACGGCGGGCGAGCGCTTCGCCACCATGGTGCGGCCGCTGGGCAGCAGCGGGGCCGGCCAGACGGGCCGCGTGTGCGGCTTCATCGGGCTGTGCTGGGTGCTGGCCGCGCTCCTGGGCCTCCTGCCGCTGCTCGGCTGGAACTGCGTGTGCGCCTTCCCGCGCTGCTCCAGCCTGCTGCCGCTCTACTCCAAGGAGTACATCCTCTTCTGCGTGGCCGTCTTCGCCTGTCTCCTGGCCGCCATCATGGTGCTCTACGGGGCCATCTTCCGGGTGGTGCGGGCCAACGGGCAGAAGGCCCCCCGGGTGCTGGCCCGCCGCAAGGCCCGCCGGCTGCTCAACACGGTGCTCATGATCCTGGTGGCCTTCCTGGTGTGCTGGGGCCCGCTCTTCGGCCTGCTGCTGGCCGACGTCTTCAGCTCCAACGACTGGGCGCAGGAGTACCTGAGGGGCATGGACTGGATCCTGGCGCTGGCCGTGCTCAACTCCGCCGTCAACCCCCTCATCTACTCCTTCCGCAGCCGGGAGGTGTGCCAGGCCGTGCTGAGCTTCCTCTGCTGCGGGTGTCTCCGGCTGGGCCTGCGGGGGCCCGGGGACTGCCTGGCCAAGGCCGCGCAGGCCCACTCTGAAGCCTCCACCACGGACAGCTCGCTGAGGCCCAGGGACAGCTTCCGGGGCTCCCGGTCGCTCAGCTTCCGGATGCGAGAGCCTCTGTCCAGCATCTCCAGCGTGCGGAGCATCTGAGCCACAGCAGGGGAGTGAGCAGGGGGCTCCAGTGGAGAGGCGGGAACAGGGCAGCCAGCCGGGGTGCGTCCCAAGGTCCTGTGGTCCTCCTCACAGCGCCCAGGCCTGCTGACGCCGAGCAGGTGTGTCCGGTGGTCTCCCTGGAGAAGGAGGTGACTGCTCACTGGGGCAGGGAGGGTTCCGGAGCGGGGATGAGGGTCTGCTGTGTACACCCCCAGCTCCCATATCATCCCAGGGAGTCGCGGCCCCTCCCCGGCCTCAGGGGGCGCCCAGGCTGCAAGGGGAAGCTGTGGGGTTGACCTCCTGGCAACACGGAAGTTCAGTGATGGTTCATCCCAGCCTCCCTCTTGTTCACGTGTGGGCGTGGGGCTGCGGGCCAGCCGGCGGCGGGCGGGGAGGTGTGCCCGTGGCCAGGGAGGGCCGTGCGTCCGTGGGGGTCCGGGGAGCGGCACAGTGAGGGTGCATGTGTGTGCGAGGGAGGGAGGCGGGCATGGGCCTGGGGAGCCAAGAGGGTGTGCGGGCGTGTCTGTGTGTGCACAGGCTCCTCCATGTGTGCACGCGCGTGTGCAAGCATGAGAGCCTTGGGCTGCCAGGTGGGGCCGGCGCCCCTCTCTCTCACTTCCCCTTTCCCTGCCCCATCTCTCATCCTGGGCCCCCGCAGCCTCTTCCCCGCCTCTGGGCTCTGCACCTCGTGGGGGCCCCATCTGCGGGCCGACAGAGGCCCAGCCGCCTGGCCCTCCCGACCTCGGGGAATTGTCCACTTCTTAGAGTTCCCTTTATTTATTATTATTATTTTTAAAAGTTTACTTCATCTCCTAGTTATACAGCTTCAATAGCGTTTTTTTGGTTTTTCCATCTTCTTTTTTTTTTTAAGTAGGCTCCACGCCCTGCATGGAGCCCAGGGTGGGGCTCGAACCCACAACTCTGAGATCAAGACCTGAGCTGAAATCAAGAGTCAGACGCTCAGCCGACTGAGCCACGCAGGTGCCCCCAGAGCTCCCTTTAGCACTAACTGCCTTGCCCTTCTCTCCTGTAAAATGGGCCTATAACGGGTGGAGCCCATGGCAGGCGGCGTTCACCAGGGCACGTGGTGCCGAGCACATCTGACAAAGCCTCTGCCACTGGTGGGGAGGTGAGGTCCACTCCGGGAGCCCCGTGGCTGTCGAGCACTTGATAAGCGGTCAGCACCACCGGTGAACTGAACTTAGTTTGAGTTTAAATAGCCCGTGGCGCTCGCGGCAAGCACGCTGGACAGCGCAGGGCTACGTCCTCAGTGCGCAGCCACTTTCAGCTCGTAGCAAGTTCCCTCTCTGCAAATTTCCTGCCTCGGGCTTGCCACGTTCCAGCGGGGGCAGCACCTGCCTGCCACGTGGGCACCGGCGGCTCTTCTCTGACCCTCGGTCCCGTCCTCGTACGACGAGGGGTGAGGTGCGTGGACACGCTAGCCGCGGCCGGCCGTTTACGATGAGCGGAAATGAGATGAAATTTTAAAATTCACTTTCTCGGTGCACCGGTCGGCTGGAGGTGCCACGGCACACGGCACTCGGCACAGACTGAGTTCTCAGCTCGATCACCTCCGTGAGGACCCTCTCTCCAAGTCCAGTCTCATTCTGAGGACTCAGATGTGAGCTCTGAGGGGACACAATTCAGCCCATGGTGTCCAGTCACGCCAGCCACATCTCAAGCACTCCCCAGTGACATGTGGCTCGTGGGCACTGTTGGGGATGGTGTAGATGCAGGACATTTCCATCATCGCAGAGATTTCTGTTGCACAGAAACTGCAGGCCTGTGGCCAGGCGCACAATAAACTGGATGTTCTTATATTTTTCTGGCTCTTATTGTCACGTTGCTTGGTGACAGCAGCAAGCGGGGTAGGGTCTTGTGGAATCTGCGGTGAGTGGAGCCTGGGCCACCCTGAATCTGTCAGCCTGTGCTCTGGGCCCATGTGAGCTGGCCCCGCCGCCTCTGTGGGTCTCGGCTTTAGGATCACCTCCTCCAGGAAGTCCTCCCTGATTTCCCCTCCTCTCTAGGTCTCCTCTCAGCTCCCACAGCTGCTTGCACGTCCCACACAAACTGCAGGTGTGACCGCTTCTGGTCACTCATCCATTGCCTCCCCTGGGCTGTCAGCTCTGGGAGTGGGGAGACTGTGGTAGTGTCTGAGTCACTGCTGTGACCAGAGTCCAGAGAAGTGGCCCCAACAGCACGCCCTCCTCGGAGCCTCAGAAACCTCTTCCTCTCCCTCTTCCCCACCCCGGCCCCCTCCCTGCCAGCAGCAGGTCCCAGGATCCTGACTTCTGCCGGTTGGATGGCTCAAGCGTCTGTAACCTGCTATCATTTTCCGGCTCTGCCACCCACCACGGGCCTCAGCTGCCTCCTGCAAAACGAGGGTACTGCTAGCGCTTGGCCTCCGGGCACGCTCATAAGGTGCGGCCTATAGAGACCCTCAAACTGTCACGAGCTGTGTTTTTAAATGAATAGCAGTAACAACAAAGGCTTGTATATTCCTCAGTGCCTGGCGCGCTGCTCTCGTCGCTCTTTTATTAACTCATTTAACCCTCAGAAATCCTCTAGGACGCAAACACCACTGTTAACGCCATTTCACAGATGGGGAAACTGAGGACCGGGTAGATGAGGGAATTTGCCCAAGGTCACACACCTCAGAAGGGGCCGGGCAGGTGGCCCTTCTCGATCCTTGCTTGTTAGGGAATAGTTGAATCTCCCCATTTTCCAGGCGGGAAAACCATGGCTCAGGGGAGGAGGCAGCACGAGCGGCTCTAGGGCCCAAGCCTTGTCATCCAAGCCAAGTTCAGGCCCGTTTCTTGGGCTGCCCCCAGGTGAGTGCGTGTGTTTCATAGCCTGACCCGGGAGAACGGGGCAGAGGGAAGAGCACATGGGCCACGATGAGCTCTGGTCCCTGTCCTTCCGGGCCGCCTCTGCCCCCTCAGGCCCAGCAACTCCCCGGAGAGGCCTGGGGGTGGCTGGAAGCAGGGGACAGGACCAGGAGGGAGGGGCCGGCACCGGAGTCCTCACTTCCCATTCATTCCACTCATTCATTCATTCATTCATTCACTTCACCACAGTGTGTCAGGCTCTACTCTGGGCACAACGGTTCCACCCATAGGCACCCTGGTGCCTGCCCCCACGAAGGCCCCACTCTGCGGGTGACAAACCCCAGACATCATTTCAGGAAGGTGTTAGCCTTGCAGGAGGGTGGGGGAGGAGAGATAGGAGAGGCAGCAGCCTGGAGGCTGCACTAGCTGGTGCATTTTCACCCAGCGGTTACTGGGCACTTTATGTGTGCCCAGCTCTTTCTGACTCAGTTCCCTGGGGATCATCTTGCTGACTTCTTACCCCTGGGCGGGAGGAAGAGGTGGGAGAGGCTGGGAAAAGGGCATCTGATAATTTATCATCTATCAGGTAGCTGAGGAAACTGAGGTTCTGAGAGATGAAGCAAGGTCACACAGCTGGCAAGGGTCGGTCGGCACTGAGACTTGACTCCGGAACGCTGTCAGTCAGCACACATGCCACCTCGAACCTGGTACACAACAGCCTCCCCGCCCCAAATCCTCCAGGAGCCGAATTGGAGCCTAGATGTCAAGTCACTGGGGGACAGGGCCTTCCTGTTCGGCATCTTGTGGCCTTAGTCTTCCCATCTGTACAAGGGGATATGGGTTATGGAAGCTCCTTAAGACCTCTCTCAGGCAGACAGTGGGATCTTAAGGTTGTGAGATTCGAAAAAAACAAATATGGGTCACCCAGTTAAATTTATGAACAAAGAAATTAAAAAAAAATTTTTTTTACTATGAATATGCCCCAAATATGAACAAGCCTAAGTACAAATCATCCTATCACCAACCCTGCACAAACTCCAGCCTCCAGACTACAAGTCCCATAACCCACTGCACCATCCCTTTAGGAAACTTCTATCATGATTTCTTTCTTCTTCTTTCATTCATTCATTCATCCCCAAACGGTATAGCCCACCCGCTGTGTGCCCGGCCTCACACTGGGTTCTGGGGATACATTAACGCACGAAGCCGACAAAAGACTGCCCTCGCGGAGTCTAGCATCTATGTGCCTTGGTTGTTTTAAGGGATTTTCTGACTTCTGCCAGGAAGACTACAGCTCCCATGAGCCCTTGTGCCTGTTTAACAGGACTACAATTCCCAGGAGGTTGCGCGCACTGGGTGGGCCACTCCTGTCTCTAATTCCAACTTCCTTCCGGGTCGAAAGATCGCGTTCTGCCCCCCTGCCTCTCGCCGCCTCCCGCGTCCTACCACAAAGACAGGGTTGGAGAAAGTTCGACTGCAAATAGTTGTTTTAAGTCTCTGTATTTTCGGACTCGGAGTTGATGTGAAACGTCATCAGTTCTAGCCCCACAGTCTACCGTGCGTCCTCCGTTGGGAAGGAACAGAGGGGGCCTACCACTCCCAGGAGGCGCCGCGCGCGCCAGGAGGACTACAACTCCCCGGAGGCGGCGCGGCGGGCGGGGCGGCCCGTGGCGGTGCCCGCAGGACCCCGGAGTAGGCGCGGGCTGCCCGGCGCGGCGCCCGCAGGACCCCGGCGGCTACCCATGCTGAGGTGAGTCCGCGGGAGCCGCCGCCGCCGCCGCCGTCCCGTCCCCGCCGCCGCCCCGCGCGGCCCCGCCGCCGGCCAGGATGCTGGAAGAAGCGGGCGAGGTGCTGGAGAACATGCTGAAGGCATCGTGCCTGCCGCTCGGCTTCATCGTCTTCCTGCCCGCCGTGCTGCTGCTCGTGGCGCCGCCGCTGCCGGCCGCCGACGCGGCGCACGAGTTCACCGTGTACCGCATGCAGCAGTACGACCTGCAGGGGCAGCCCTACGGTGCGTGCACCCCGGCCTCGCCGGGCACCCCGGAGCCCGGGCACCCGCCGCGCGCGCCTGGCCAGCTGCAGTGCAGCCCGCAGACCCCGCTTAGGCCACCCGACCCTTAGCCGAGCCGCAGACGAGCCCGAGCCCGAGCCTGCGTGCCCCGAGCCCTGTCCGTCCCGTGCCCCTGGAGCCCTCGGCGCACGCGCCCCTGGCGAGGGCGGCGTGGCCCCCGAACCCGGGGCTCCGACCCTCAGGCCGAGCTCGCTCTGCTCCTGGACCCTCGGATTCCCAGCGGGGCGGGAGCCGCACTGCCTCGGCCCCCTTCCGGGGACAGCACCCCGGCGCCCATCCTCGCTGGGCTATGCCCAGGGCCCCGAGCGCCCGCTTCGGGAGCTGATGTGGAGGTGAGCCTCCTGGCTTGGTTTCTGCCAAGCGGAACCCCTCGACGGGCAGTTGCAACCAGCCCTGCCCCGCCACGGCCCGGCGCCCGGTGCCCGTGTCCGGTGCCAGTATTCTGCTCCCCTCGGGGCTCAGGAGCCCTGATCTCTAACCCAGACCTGGCCGCACGTCCCGGCTCATGAGCCAGATTCCTTAGCCCAGGCCGTGGACCCCCATCCTTCCCATTTCAGTCCCCATGCCTGTGGGCTTGTGGGGTCCCTTAGACCCTGTGTCTTGTCCCTTTGGTGCACACACCCCTCCTTGGCCCAGCCTCCTCACCCTGGGTGTCTGGTACCCTGCCTGCTCCCTCTCCGTGACCCTGCTGGGTCATCTCTCCCTGACCTCCGGGGTCCAGCACAGCTCCTCGGCTCCCCCTCCTGCCCCTTCTGTCAAGGTCCTGGTCCCGGACCCTAAGCCTAAATTCTAAATTCCCCCGTCTCTGCCCAACTGTAGCTGTATCCCGTATTACAGAACCTTCTGGCCTGTGTTTTTTTCTCCTAGCTTGGTGCTTTAGGTCCCTGCAAGTGTAGGTCTGAGCACCTCATAAAGGAGCTTCCTCCCCAGTTCTGGTCTTTTTCACCTCTGACCCAGGCTCCTCTTGGACTCCCCCCCCCCCCCCAGAACATCTCAGGCCCAGCCTGAACCCCATGGATTCCCAGGGGACGTTGGGTGATGATTCTGCGGCTGTCCCAAGTGGGGGTGCCCCTGGCCTCCAGTGGGTGGGACCAGGGATGGGACTCAACACACCCTCCACAGAGAACGACCCGGCTCTGCCTGTCTGGGTGCCACGGGCGCAGATTGGGGGCAGACCGTGGGTTAGGGATGATCTTGACCCGAGGCCCCCACTCTGGAGGATGGGAGGGAAGACCCGGAGCCCCTGATACCCTGGACACATGTTTGTGGAGTTTCATATTCGGGTGGGGGAAGGGCCACCAGCAGCGTCCAGTGGAACTTTCTGTGTTGTGTGTCTTTGCCATTTAACACGGGAGCCACGAGCCGCAGGTGGCCACTCGGCACTATGGATGTGGCTCAGGCAAGCGAGGAGGGCAGTTTGTAGCATCATGTTAATTGTGATAAACCAAAATAGCCAAGGATGGCTGGCGGCCGCCGGAGGGATGTGCACCAGAAGGCCCAGAGCCTCGAACCTGTGATGACCACATGCCGATTGGATTCCCGTCTGGCTTTCTTTTCCTCCTTCCTTCCCTGAGTCCATCGCCCCTCATCCTGGGATTCCCTCCCATTCGTTGTTGTGGCTTGACATCTTCCCCTGCATGGCATCAGTAAAGACCTTGGGCCCTGGGGGTGAGCACGGGGGGATTGGGGGAGGGGGGGCTGTCTCAGCCGAGAGCGTCAGGTGTGCAGCCCAAGGAGGCAGAGGCCCAGAGCGTCCTTGAGCCCATGCCACTCACACCAGGCTGCTCCTGCCTGGGGAGATGGGGGAACCCCTTGTGGGTCTTGTTCTGGCGGGACTGGAGGGAGCCCCGGCCCTCGCCTGGCCAGCGGGGTGTCTGAGACCTGGCCTGGGTCACCGCTGGTCGCCGGATCCCCAGTGTCGGCAGGGGCCCCCCTGCCTTGAGGCTCCCCGCCTCCTGCTGCAATCCTTGCTCTGGGTCTTTCCTCACTTCCTGTTCACTCCTCTTGAGAAACGAGGCAGGCTGGCTGCCGGGAAGGGAAGGCGTGTGCTCTTTGTGCCGAAGCGCAAGCAGGGCTGAGGGCGGCCCCGTCGGGTACAAGGCCATGGGTGTGACTGTGCCCCTGATGCCAGGCAGACTCTGGCCCTCCCTGGGTGACAGGTCACTTTAACAGCCCTGGCGCGCGGGCCTTGCTGCGTTTAGTGGCCTCACTTGATCCCTGAGGCTGAGGCGAGGCCCTGGGAGGTGGGGACGCGAGCACCCAGCGCCCCGTCAGGCTCCTCCACTCTGTTGTAAATAAAGCTTTATTGGCACACAGCCCTGCCCGGTGGTTGGCGTGCGTCTCTGGCGGCAGAACTGAGGACTCAAGACGGGGCTGGGGGTGTGTGGCCAGCAAGGTGACGGGCTTGGTCTTTGGGCCCTGGGTAGAGCCGTCTGCGACCCCCGCTTGGGTCTGGGCCTGGCGTCCAGGGCCCATTTGTGATCTGCCCCGAGCCCAACCTCTTCCCGTCCAGGGCTCATGGTGAGGGTAGCTGCGTCAGCCTCAGCTTCGTGTCGGCAGAGGGTCTCTGCCCTTGGGACCCTGGGGATCTGGGGGGCATTGGGGGCCCGCCTCCACCCATCTCTGATCTCCCTGGTTCTGTGAGGGAGCATCAGGCCAGGTAGATGCACACAGTAGGCTCCACAGGTGGCCTGTGTGTCCACCCGTTAGGGGCACAGGGCGGGGCCTTCCCGGCGCGCCCAGAGCTTCAAGGACGTCCTGAAGGTCCTGCTGCTCTCGCCCTGCTCGGCCCTCCTGGGGGCTCCCTGGGGGCTTCCGCAGTGTAGCCTGAATCAGGGAAAAGACCCCTGGAGGGTTGGGGGCTGGAGACAGGGAGCGCCCCGCCCCCAGCCCTGGGGACATGGGTCACAGGCCCCCTTCTCCCAAGGTGGCCTTGCCTTTCCCACCTGGGACGCCGTCCCCTTTCCCCTGGCCAGCCCCTTCCCAGGCTGCCTGCTTTCCCTGGAGGCCTCGTCCCTGCAAAGCAGAGGTGAGGCCAGGGCTGGCCCTGGGCTCGAGGCATTTGTAGCCGAGCGTCCATGTGGACGCCTGACCCTGCAGCTCTGACCTCTGGACGGCAAGGTCAGGCTCTCTGTCAGGGTCTCAGACAGGAGGCCCCGGGGCCATCCCTCCCCCCTCCCCGGAAGGAATGATTTGCTTGTTTTGGGCATCCTGGGTCGGACTGCAGGTCTTGAGGCATTTTGGAGTCATTGTTTATTTCTGCTGTTTAGGTGGTTTGATGTAAAAGTTGGGATTTTTTTTCAGGGAGCCGCCTGAGCCCCTTTCCCACCTGAGGGCCCGCTGCACACCACGCACGGGGCCGAGCGCCCGCGGAAGGTCACGCAGCTGTCAGCGCCCCTCCCCGTCTGCATTTAATGTCCGTGTGGCTTCTGGCTGGTTGTCTCCCGCCCGCAGTGCCCCCTCCGGGCCCCGTGCTCAGGTGTCCGTGTCGGGGGGAGACCCCGTTGACCCTAGAAAAGCTCTCTGTGCCGTCCTGCTTCCGACCCACCTCTTCTCACCTCTTCTTGGGGGGGGGGGGTTCAGTTGCCTGGAAACTCTGTCTCTCGCTCTCTCCCTGTCTTTCTGGAACAGTCTTCAGCTCTCAGAAGAGAGTGAGAGATGGCCCTTGGCTGTAGAGTGGAGGCTCCAACCTGGGGCGATCCTGTTCCGGGGGGGGACGCTGGGCCATGTCTGGGGACGCCCGGGCCCCTGGCACCGAGTGGGGGCGCCCAGGAATGCTGCTCCGTCCCCCTCAGCGCCCGGGGAGGAGGGTCTTGGCTCTTACTCGGTTCTCAGAGGCCCTGTGACCCCCCAGGTTCGGGTGGGCGGTGAGCCGCTGGCCTTGGTGGATGTGGTCGTGCCCGTGGCCAGTGACAGGACGTGTCTGGGGCGAGACCGCGGGGGTCCTCGAGGCCGTGCTTTCCAAGTGGGGGCCCCGGCGCCCCGCTGAGGGAGGCCCTCCCCGCCCTCCTGCAGGCACTCGGAATGCAGTGCTCAACACGGAGGCCCGCACCATCGACGCGGACGTGCTGAGTCGCCGCTGCGTGCTCATGCGGCTGCTGGACTTCTCCTACGAGCAGTACCAGAAGGCCCTGCGGCAGTCGGCCGGCGCCGTGGTCATCATCCTGCCGCGAGCCATGGCCGCTGTGCCCCAGGATGTCATGCGGGTGAGTCCACACCCTCGCCTGGCGCCCAGGCTTGGGTCCAGATGCTTCTGCAGGAAAGGAGCACTGGGTTTGGAGCGAGCCGTGTGACCTTGGCCAGTGCCTCACGCTCCTGCGCCCTCTGACCCTCGGAAAGTGGGCTGGTGCCTGTTGGCCTTCACTGTTGCCCCAGGGGGACCCATCTTTGCTCCTCACGACTGGGGAGCTCCTGGCATCAGGAAGGTGGGGCTGGGTGCTGCCCCACCCCCCATGGTGACAGCCCACAGAGAGGGACCCACCCCATGTTCCCGGGTCCCAGGGTGGGGACCGGCTCTGAACTGATGGCATCTGATAGGGACCCTGATGAAGATGCTTTTGCAGAGGAGTATGGGGTGGCTGGGGCGGGCGGGGTGTGGGGAGGGGAGGAGGGCCCGGCCTTACCAAAGCCCGACCACCTCGTGCCCCACGGGCAGGCCCCTGCCGTCTGCCTAGGGTGCCGGCCGCCATCGTCGACCACTCACAGCTGAGGATGTGATGGCCCGTGGGGCTGGGGCCGGCCCACAGTGACCCCAGGTCTGACCCCAGACGTGGCCAGCTCCCCCTCCGTCCTCACAACCTGATGGGTACCGCCTGGGAGCCCCATGGGCATTGCCCCTCACTCGGCTCTCCGTCCTTGTCCCGTCTGCCCCCCCCATCCCACCCTGCCCTCCCCAGTGTGACGTTAGCCTCGTCACCCAGCCTCATGGGGGGTGAGAGTGCCCCTGGGACAGCCACGCCCCGCCCCAAGCCCCTAAACAAGCGTCTCCTCCACAGCAATTCATGGAGACCGAACCTGAGATGCTGGCCATGGAGACCGTGGTCCCCGTGTACTTTGCCGTGGAGGACGAGGCCCTGCTGTCCATCTACGAGCAGACGCAGGCTGCGTCCGCCGCCCAGGGCTCCGCCTCCGCCGCCGAAGGTAGGTTGGGGCTGCAGGCTGGGGCCGGCCTGTGGGGTCCTGGCCCGTCGAGGGGCCGGGGCTCACGGTGAGTGCGTGGCCCTGCATGCAACACCCACCCCCCCAGTCCTGTGCTGGCAGACCCCTGGGAACCACTCACCGGGGGAGGGGCTCCCATCTTCAGCCTCTGATGGTTTATGGGAAACGCAGGCGCCTATTCCACCTGCCGAGGACTCTGTCCCTGTCCCCGTTGTCCCCGGGTCTGTCGGGGAGGGGCTGCAGCGTCCTCAGGGAGACGGGGAAACACGGGACCTCTGTGAGCTCAGAGCAGGGCCGGGTGGCTGTCAAGTGAGCGCTGGCAAAGGTGGTCAGAGATGCCAGGGAAGGGACCTGCCTGACCTCCCCTGGTCACCCGTGTGAGTGACCAGCACCAGGGTGCGCATGTCTGCCCCCCAGTCCTCAACGCCGTGCCGTGGTCCACGGGGCAGTGCTGCATACAGCCGGCCTTAGACCCAGCCCTGCCCCCCTCCCTGGGGCTTGGCCTGACGCCCCCTCCACTGTCCTCAGTGCTGCTCCACACCGCCACGGCCAACGGCTTCCAGATGGTCACCAGCGGGGTCCAGAGCAAGGCTGTGAGCGACTGGCTCATCACCAGCGTGGAGGTAAGTGTCCAGCCCTGCCTGCCTCACTGGGACCCGGGGAGGGGGCCGCCCTGGCTCACTGAGCTCCCCTCCATCTGTTTTCCCTCTGATAGGGAAATTGGGTCAAATCTCCCCCAGCCCATCTCCTGCCTTCCATTGCCAGCCCCAGCCATACGTCAAGCCTCCTCTTCCTGCCTCAGGGCCTTTGCACTGGCTGTCTTTGCCTCACAGAGAGCTCCCCTTCCCCCTGTGGCTGCTGCTGCTTATCATACCATGATACCTCCGTGGCTGTGTTCTCAGGACCTTATGGGGCCATATACCCCCCGTTGTCCACAGCTCAGCTCAGCTGGGAGAGAGCTGAGTTCTGGATGTTGAAGTAGCTGATTAAAGCAGCAAGCCAGACACGAAAGAGTTCCACCTGTAATCACCTACGGTGGGCATGGAAGCGAGCGTCTAGGCGGGGGAGACCCTGACTCCGCTGCCCTGATCTCCGCCATGTCGGCAGCCGTGGGGGGGCCTGGACAGAAGGCTCTGCCAGTTGTGTGGAGCCAGGGTGGGGGGTGGCGAGGGGGAGGGCCATCTTGTCTTCATGGTGCCCTGTGTCCGTCGTGTCCCCCACCCCAGTGACGAGGTTCCCCTGGAGCCTGCCTGGGAGACCCTCACAGAGGCCCCCCACCGGCCTGCAAAACCAGAGATTGATTTTAACCTGGGGCTGGAGTCCTCCCGTGGCGCGGCTTTACTTCCTCTCCAGCGATCTCTCCGCGTGTCACTGACCGCGTGTCACTCCCCGCATGTCACTCCGCTGGCCCCAGTGCCCAGAGACCACGTTCGTGTCAGCCTCTGTGGTGTCCCGGGAGCCTGAGCAGGTGCTGGTGCCCAGGAGGCCCTCCGTGAGCACTGAGGCCGAGTGCACTGGTCGCCCTGTCCTGTGTTAGGGCTGGGCTCTGTCCTCCGTGTAAGCTTGGCTTCTGTGGGCCGAGTCCCAGTGGCTTACAGCAGATGGTGCAAGGCTGCTTGGCCGCGCCTGGCGTGGGCGTGCGGGCTCCGTGCGGGTTGGGGTGCAGGTCCCTCCCCTCTGCAGAACTGAGTGAGTCTGCCTCAGGTGTGTGACCGGCGTGCCTCTCCGTGAGCACGGGGAGCCCTGCGGTGGGCAGGATGCCCTTCCTTCCTGAGGGACTCCCCTGCGGTCGGGGAGGTCTGAGGGCGGCAGACCGGCACTTAGACGCAGCGGGAGGCGGGCTCTGCTAGGGCAGCGGGTGCCTGCAAAATCAGCGCGTTCCATTCGGTGCGGGGCCCTCCAGGACGCCCAGGCTGCCAGCTCTGCGGCCGCGAGGAGAGTCAGGGCTTCCGGCAGCGCGGGCCAGCCCGCAGGGCCTGGATGCGGGGGGCTGCGCAGGCCGATTCAGGGTGTGGGGAAGCGCCGCAGGTCCAAGCAGTTGATGAGATTGACTCCTCTTAAAATCCTGCGAAGGATCGTGGCAGTTTGGGCAGAGTCCTTGTCATCGGGCTCCCGAAGGTCGGGCTGAGCAGAAGCTGGTGCGCGTTCCGGGGGTTAGTAGCAGCCAGAGCCGCCCAGGATCTCGTGGGTTCTTCTCGCCATTTGGGCGGGAGTCTGTTTCAGCCTGCCAGGCTGGCCGTCCAGGCCCCTGGTTCTAGCAAGCTCTGCAGTGCGCTGAGCCCCCGCCAGCCCTGTTGTCCGGGGGGAAGCAGGTGTGCTCGCCTGCCCTCCTACTCACCCTGAGCCCCCGTTGGCTCCCAGCCAACGAGGATCAGCCTGTGTGTCGGGGAGGGAGGTTCGAGCCGCTGGGGTCGGCAGTGTGCCCATGCCTCGCTGTGGACGGCAGCCTCCCACCCGACACAGCCGAGGCCCTCGCAGAGCTCACCCTCTGGTTGGGAGGGTCAGATAGACGGGGCCTCACCGTGTGCCGGCAAGGACCCCGGGCCGCACCGTCTGACCCCTCTGCAGCCGGGGACTGGCCTCGCACGGGAGCAGTGGAGGCTGAGGCCTTTGCTGACAAGAGCTGGTTCTGCGTCACCCACGTGACTTCAGCGAGGGCCAGGTTACAGCTGTTGGGCCCGCAGCCGGGGCACCGGGACCTGGATCCCGGGCCCCGATGAGCTCCCGTGGCCGCGTTCCTGACGGCTGCGTCTGCTCCTCAGCAGAGCTGTGCCGCCACCCTGATGGCGGCTTGGGGCTCAGCCTTTGAAAGATGGGCTGGGTTTCCAGGTGGGGAAGCAGCTAGAGCAGCAGTCCGCGTGCTGCGGGCCTCGTGACCATGTGTAAATAAAGTTTTATTGGCACACGGCCACAGCCATCAGTTCACGCACCGTCCATGACCGAGCCAGCAGAGCTCGAGATACTGCCCCGCCCCCTGGGGGCCTCCGGGCTGTTTCCGGGGACCAGGGCCCCTGCCAGCGTGCCCTTCACAGACTGTGTCCCTGCAGGGCCGGCTGACCGGGCTGGGCGGAGAAGACCTTCCCACCATCGTCATCGTGGCCCACTATGATGCCTTCGGAGTGGCCCCTGTATGTACACGGCACTTGGGGGAGGGGCACGGGCATCCCCACCCCCAGCCCTGCCGCAGCCTGGCTCTGTGCCCTGCAGCTTAGGTCATGGCAGCAGCGCCCACCGCCTGAGGGCCCAGGAGGATCCCGGGCGCGGGTGTCATCGTGAAGCAGGTCTCGTGGCCAGGGTCCCACAGCAGATCGGTGGCCAGTCCAGAAATGGAGCCCAGGGCGTCTGTGCCAGGATCCTCAAGACCCCTCCCAGGGGCAGGGATGTGCGCAAAGCGCCCAGGTTCCCACTGGGGGTCACTCAGCAGGCCCCTCTGCCAGCTCGGTGGAGACCCCAGGCCAGGAGGGGAGCGGGTCCTCAGCACAAACCTCGTGTCTGCACAGACAGCTCAGGGACACAGGCCCCCGGCCGGCGAGGGTGGCGGGCGCCCTGGAGTCCTGGGCAGGCCTCTTGAGCCAGCCTCTGGGGAGGGAGGTGTCGGGCCTGCTGAGCTCTGCCGCCCTGCGGGCCTCCCCCTCCACCCCCGTGCCAAGCTGTCTGAGCCCCCTGCACAGTGAGGTCACGGTCACTGCTCACTCTCAGCAGCTCGTAAACAATGCCTGTGGCTTCATCAGGAAAGTCTTGCTTTGAAAGAAATACTGTCCAAACCAAAGAGGTTGCCAGTGGCAGCTCTGCGTGAGGCTGGCCGTGTGACCGCGGCGATGGCAGGCAGCCGCCCAAGGGCCACCCCGCCTGGGAGGCCGATGCCTGGATCCGCCAGGGCCAGAGGCAAGGCCTGAACAGTCTCCTCAGCGCTCAGCCTCGCTGTTATTTCCCTCCTGCCCGACCCGCAGTCTTTTCAGATTATTTTGTCTTCGTCCCTTACCCCCTGCCGTGAAGTCCACCTGCCTGCTTTCCTTGAGATGTAATTCATTTGAAATTTATTCTCTCAAAGCAAATATCTTAGTACGGTGCAGGACACTTAGAGGCACATCTACTTCCAGAACGTTCCATCCCCCCAAAAGAAGCCCCGTTCCCATCAGCTCACTACCCCATTGCTCCCCGGCCCCCGTGAGCCCCCCTCCCGTCCGTGGAGGAGCCTGTTCTGGACGTTTCACGCACGTGGACTCACACCCCGTGTGGCCTCCCGTGTCTGGTTCCCTCCCTGAGCAGTGTTGCCTTTTCTCCCAGAATTTTCGTATATCAGCATGTGACGTGTTGGTTTACAGGCTGTGACCTGGGGGGGCCCAGGCCCTAGCGCAGGATCCATTTTGTTTTTTAATCTGAACACCACGCTGCTGGGAAGGTTGCTTCAAATCATAGAACGTAGATGAGTCAGGACCCTTCACAGCTGGGGGCGCCTGCACTGCCCTCCCGCCCCCAGTAGCGGGGGGGGGGCACATTCCTGGGGTGGCGTGGGGTGGAGTCTTGGCGAGCGGGGAGCAGGGTGCTGTCGTCCTAGGGGTGGGGCAGGGGAGCGAGGCGCGGCCGGGGACTGAGTGCAGGCCGTTCAGGGTGGGCTCCAGCCGCCGGGGGAGGGGGGCGGCCAGGTGACCACCGGCCCGGTGTGCCCCTGCCCACAGTGGCTGTCGCACGGTGCGGACTCGAACGGGAGCGGCATCTCCGTGCTGCTGGAGCTGGCCCGCCTCTTCTCCAGGCTCTACACCTATAAGCGCACCCACGCCGCGTACGTGACCGCCGGGGGGCGCGCACACCCCCGGGAGTGACTGTGCCCAGGGTCCTGATCTGCACCCAGGTCCTGCACCCCAGGGACACAGGCTCTGGCCTGGGGACATCTCTGGTCGTCGGGCTGGGGGAGCTCCTGGTGCTGAGCTGGGGGGGGGGAGGGGTCGCCCTACAGAGAGTCCACCGTGCCCGGGCAGGGACGCCCCGCTCTGAGGGGTCAGGACTGTGCCTGCGGGAGAGCAGCTCCTCCTTGGGGACCCGGCCTCACCCCCACAGCTGACCCCGCCATCCCCGCCGCCAGGTTCAACCTCCTGTTCTTTGCTTCCGGAGGGGGCAAGTTCAACTACCAGGGGACCAAGCGCTGGCTGGAAGACAACCTGGACCACACGGGTGAGCGGCCCCCGGGGGGCGGGCACGGGAGCCCAGGCCCGCGCGGGGGCCCCTCGCCCCTCACCCCTCCCAACCGGCTGTGGCTGCCCCCACAGACTCCAGCCTGCTCCAGGACAACGTGGCCTTCGTCCTGTGCCTGGACACCGTGGGCCGCGGGGACAGCCTGCACCTGCACGTGTCCAAGCCGCCCAGGGAGGGGACGCTGCAGCACGCCTTCCTGCGGGAGCTGGAGACGGTAGGCGCCTGGCGTCCCGGCCCCTCCCGGCGTCTCGTGTCCCGTCCAGCAGCTTCCGATCAGGCGCTCTGTGGATGCGGGCGCCGAGGACGCGGGACTCGGGCACCCTCCTGGCTCTCAAGGCCCTGTGGGAACGTCCCTGGTCCGAGCTGGCGGGGGAGGCCGGGGGCGGGGGCGTTGCCCTGATGGCGCCTCCTCCTCCCCCCCTCCCCCCACGCCCGCCCGCACAGGTGGCCGCGCACCAGTTCCCGGAGGTGCGGTTCTCGATGGTGCACAAGAAGATCAACCTGGCGGAGGACATCCTGGCCTGGGAGCACGAGCGCTTCGCCATCCGCCGGCTGCCCGCCTTCACCCTGTCCCATCTGGAGAGCCACCGGGACGGCCAGCGCAGCAGCATCATGGACGTGAGGTGAGCACAGGCGCGGCCCCGAGGCCTCCCCTGCGTCCACGGCCGGCTGTGGATGGTCTTTGAGGGGCGACGCCGTAGATGCAGGTGCCTGGAGGAAATGAAGCCAAAATGTGGGTGGGGTGGGGAAGGGGCAGGCGTTAGCTGAGGACCCCAGGAGCAGAGTGGGGGGCCAGGGGCCTGGGGTCAGGTTACCGAGCGCCACCCTTGTTAGCAGCCGGGAGGCCGTGTGACTGGTTTTGGGTCCCTTGGTCCCCATATGTGATGTCCAGACCCCACACGTGACTCTCAGACACTGGGCACCTCGGTACCCTGCTTCCCAGACGCTGCAGATCCTGCCCCTGGGCCTTTGCACGGCCGTGCTGAGGCCTGGCCAGTGGTGCCCTGTCTCATACCTCCTTTGGGGAGCTCTCCCCACCTCTTTCTTCCTCACTGTCTCTCTTCAAGACCCTGGGCACCTCTGGCTTCTGCCGTTTTATGACTTCACTTTGCGTTCATGGCTCCCTCTGGCCTGTTGGCCCTCAGTGGGGCCAGGGTTTTATGGGTCTGGGCCCAGCCCAGCTGCTGAACATGTCTGCTGGGGGGTGAGAAGCTGGTCTTGGAGGAGGCCCTGCCAGGCAGCGGGCGAGGCCCAGAGAGGGAGCAGGCACTGGCAGGGGTGTTGACCGTTCCTGGGGCATCAGGGGAGGCTTCCTGGAGGAGGCAGTGCCAGACCGGAGGGGCATGAGCCGGGAGAAGGGCTTTCTGGGGCGGAGGGAGCAGCAGGGAAGGGACTGGGGCGCCCGCTAATCGTCTGCCCTCCTGGGGAGGCCCAGCACCGCGCTGTTGCGCACCGGAGCTCATCTTCCAGGTTTTTGTAGCCTCCGTGGCTGCAGGAGGGCGTCCCGTGTGTGTGCGGATGTCCCCTGGTGTAAGGACTCCGGCCCCCCTTCACGGGGCACGTCCGCGGAGGCCCCGTCCCAGGCTCTGGGTGGGCGTGAATGTGGGGACACTGTTCACCCGACCCAGGGCATCACCTAAGCTCCGCTGCCACCACCACGGTCCTGGTGACAAAACTGAGGCCCAGAGCCACCCGCCATTCCTGCCAGACACTGGAGAGCGCCCCCCCCCCCAGGCGGCGCCCGCGGCTTTTTTTTTTGTTTTTATCATCATCGGAAATTTTAACTCGTGTGGATTCCGATACGTATGTGTGTTTTCTTCACACCTGCCCTAAGGTCCCGGGTCAACTCGAAGACTCTGACCCGCAACACCAGGCTCATCGCGGAGGCCCTGACCCGAGTCATCTACAACCTGACCGAGAAGGTGAGCCCCTGCCCCCCCTCCCCCCCCAGCTCCCGCCCCGCCCGGCGACCTGACTCAGGGCGCGTCGCCCCTCTCTCCACAGGGCACCCCCCCGGACATGCCGGTCTTCACGGAGCAGATGGTAACGGCCGGCCAGGGAGGGGGGGCAGGGCAGGCGGGGTTGGGGGCTGGCGGGGCGCGTCACGTGGGGGTCCCGTGACCGCGGCCCGCCCCCCGCAGCAGATCCAGCAGGAGCAGCTGGACTCGGTGATGGACTGGCTCACCCACCAGCCCCGGGCCGCGCAGCTGGTGGACAAGGACGGCCCGCTGCTCAGCACGCTGGCGCACTGCCTGAGCCGCTACCTGAAGGAGGTGAAGCAGCACCACATCAAGGCCGACAAGCGGTGAGCCCCCCCCAGCCGGCGGGCACCCCGGGGCTCTCCACCCTGCCTGCGAGATCGAGCGGGTGGAAGTAGACAGGAAGTAAAACAGTAAGTGAAAAGTGCAGGCGTCTGATCACATGTGAGTTCCACGTAAACAGGCCTTGTTTAGCGTAAGTGTATCTCCCGCGTCGTTTGGGATATATTTATGCCAACCAGTTTTTTTCTTTCTGTGAAATCCATATGTAACGATGTTGTGGTAATTGGGCTGCTCTTACCACCTCCTACCTTCTGGTCCTTTCATGCTCTGGTGTCGAGTGACTTGTTCCCCGGTCCCCTGTCTGCCCTCAGATACTCCTCCCCACCGTGGGCCACCTGGGTTTTGTCTTTTTTCTGATCGGAGCTGACCATGTGGGCCAAGCTAGCACCTCAGGGCCGTGTGGTAGGAGGAACCTGCAGGTGCCAGGGCTGGGAGATCCCCTGCTGGGCCTCCCTTGCTGACTTTTGACCTTCTCTCAACTCATGGTGTGCCCAGGAGTCAGAGCTCTTGGACAGAAGAAGAAACCGAAGGTCAGGGTGGACCCACAGCGGTGGCGCCAGGGCCTCTGATTCCCAGACCGTGCTTGCCCTCTCTATGGAAATGCTCTCCAGACCTTTAAAATCTTAACAGTCCCCTGCTCCATCTGTAAAGACTGCGTTTTTACACCAGAAAAGCAACAGGAAAGAGGCTACTTCAGGATAAAAGATAGTTCTTCCCCAGGAGGGTGGGTGGTGGCTCTGCGCACATGTGCTCCCTCCCCTTTTCTGGGCCCTCAGGCCCTCTGGGCCGTCTGGTTTCTGGGGGACGTGGCCCGGCTGCTGGGTGACCCCGCTGAGGACGTGCTCTCTCCTCAGGGACCCCGAGTTTGTCTTCTACGACCAGTTGAAGCAGGTGATGAACGCATACAGGTGAGCTGCCCTGGGTCAGCGCCCGCGGTGTGCGGTCCAGGGACACGGAGGCCGCCCTCACCCTCCCTGACCCCGCCGGCCCCCCCGGTCTCCCCCAGGGTCAAGCCAGCCATCTTCGACCTGCTGTTGGCCGTCTGCATCGGGGCCTACCTCGGGATGGCCTACACGGCGGTCCAGGTGAGCTGGGGAGGGGGCTGGGCGGGGGGGGGGGGTCACCGGCCAGGTGAGTGCTCACCGCCCACCCTGCCCAGCAGCACGACACCGCCAGGCGGCCCTCGGGCCCAGACCTCACTCGAGCCCCCCCCCGCCCCCCCCAGCACTTCGACCTCCTGTACAGAACCGTTCAGAGACTGCTGGTGAAGGCCAAGACGCAGTGACGCGCCGCCCGCCGCCCCCTCCGCGCCGCAGCGGCCGGCACCCGAATTACAGAGCTTGCCTGTGTGACACCCGGGGGACTCTTTCTCTTTTCTGTCCCGTGAACTCTGGGAGGAGCATTTGGTGGAGGCCCCGGGGCCGGGCCGTGGACTTGGGGACGAGTCTGTGGACGAGGCCCCCGCCCCGGAGGCGGCCCTCAGGGCTCACGGGCTGCGGGATGGCCGGGAAGGCACCGGGCTCGTCCCTCCTCCTGCCCACGACACTGACCGGCGACTGCAGGCTGAGGGGCAGGGGGCCGCCCACGCCGCCCGTCTGTCCTCTGCGCCGCCCCTCCCCTTGGTGATAAGGATCGGCTGGGCAGCGCCGGCCCCTCAGAGATTGGGTGCCCCCCACCCCGGCCGAGGCCGAGGGGAGCCACTCACCTTGGGTGCGGCTTCAGAACACGGGTCCCCAAGCCCCCGGCTCCTCCCAGCCTCCGCCCTCCCGCGGCGCCCTGGCACTGGGCCTGTCCCCCGGCACCCCGTGCCCCTGGGGCGGCAGGCAGCAGGGGGAGAGAGGAGGCGCCCTAGGCCCGTGCCCCTTCCCTCAGGCTCTCTGTCCTCACCCGCGGGGCGGAGGGCGTGTTCTGGGGCAGCGTCCAGGCTGGGGTCCAGGAGAGCCTTTGCTGGAGAAGCTGCGGCCGAGGGGCCCGCGGGGCGGCCCTTCCAGGACCTGGGACCTGGAGAGGAAGGTCTGGGCCTGAACCCCACAAATCAGGCCCCTTGTAAAGGAGGGGTGCAGGGGGCCTCCAGTGCTGCTGAGACTGACCTCAGGGAGACCCAGGCGAACCGATTCATTAGCAATATAATCAGTGAGGTGTTCTGTGCTGAGGGGAAGGGAAGGGTCAGCATGAGGGAGGCGGGCTCTGGGCGCCCGCCTCAGCCCCCAGGGAGACCTTATTGGAGGGTCTGGAGGGGGGCACCGCTCCCTGCCTTGTGCCCCCACCCGCAGCTCTTCCCAGAAGCCAGCGCGCCGCTCACGGCGGGACGGACTCCTAGGGGCTGGGTCTCCGTCTCCACCCTGGGCCTCCTGCCTTCGCCAAGCCAGACCGTCCCTGTCCCAGGCCCAGGGAGGGGCAGGTGGGGGGCCACAGGCTCCCCTGCCTCTGCCCCGCCCCCCGCGGGTGGCCCGTCTCCCCCAGACACTGTTTACTGAGTGCCCTGCCAGCCCAGCGGCCTCTGGGGGAGGACAAGCTGACCGGCGTTGGCCCGTCTCCCGCAGGGCCTGCCCAGTGGGGTCCCTCCTGCGGGGGCGGCGGGGACTGCCGACTGTTCAGAGCTCAGGCTGCTTGGGGACGGACTTGGACGATCAGAAAATAAAGCCATATCGAATGACCCGCCTCTCGCGTCTTCTGGGGGCTGCTGCTCCGGGTGGGATGTAGCCGCTTCCAAGTGTTCTGTGCTCCTTGAGGGCCTGGGGCCGGGAGAGCAGGGTCGGCCCTTCCTGCCCCCCAGCTTGCTGCCACATGGGATCCGGGGTGTGTGCGATTCCTGGGGTACGGGGCTCCAGAAGTCAGGGGCAGGGCGTGGGCGGGGCCGGCTCGGCCGCGGTCCCTTGGCTTGTAGACGGCGTCCCGCCTGGGCTTGCACATTCTGTGTCTCCTGCTCCCCCACCCCCCACCCCGGGCAGTACGACATCATCTGCGAAGACCCTCCTTCCAGAGAAGGTCATGTACTGAGGCTCCGGTGGGCGTGAATCTGGGGGGGACACATTCAACCGAGGCTGGGGGCAGGGGGCCGTGTGCTGGCTGTCCCCATCATCCAGGCCCCCCACCCCAGCCCCAAACCGGGTTCCAGGGAGGTCCCGGCCGGGGCGCAGCCTCAGGGCGCTCAGGTGCCGCACTACTGCGGGTTTACGGGGCGGGTCTCTGCTCCAGGCCCGGGAGCGCCCCGCTCGGGTCCACCCAGGCCTGGCGGTCGGCCGACGGCGTCCGCGTGCCCGCCTCTGTGGCGGTAGAACAAGACTCTGTGCTCAGGGGCCTGTGTTCTGGCTGCGAGAAGGGACAGACCGCGGCCTCAGGGCTGCCGGCTGCCGGCAGGTGGTGTAGACGGGCTGCGGGGAGTCCGGGAGGCGAGCCTCCGCCGGCTGGGGTGCTCGCGGGCGCCCTCCCGTGGCCGCTGCGGGGAGGGCGGGGCGGAGGGCGGGCGGGGCTACCGCGGGGGGGCCTGGAGCAGGGACGGCCCGCTTGGGTTTCCCCCGCGGCCCCAGCCCCAGGTCGGGAGCGGCCCCGCAGTGTTCAGAGGGCAAGCCAGCCGCTCATCTCCGCTCATCTCGTGTTAACGTACACGGATTTCCCCCTCTTCCTCTTAACACACAAAGTTCCATGGACTGAAACCAGGAAAACTGGGGCGCCTGGGCGGTCAGTCTGTTGAGCGTCTGACTTTGGCTGAGGTCAAGATCTCACAGTTCATGGGTTCGAGCCCCGCGTCGGGCTCTGTGCTGACGGCTCGGAGCCTGGAGCTGCTTCGGATTCTGTGTCTCCGTCTCTCTCTGCCCCTCCCCTGCTCACGCACATAAGTAAGTAAATTTTTTTAAAAAAAGAAACCATTAAAACACGAGTCCCCAGTCACCGTAGCTGGAGTTTTTTCCATCCTGTTTCCCAGAGTGTGTGGGTGTACGTGAAACCTCATTGTGAATTGGTGTTAAATATGGGTGACCCTTGACCCCGGCATTAGGGACACTGACCCATGCGAAGCCCTGTGGAAACTCTTCATACAACTACTGACTTCCCAGAGCTTAGCAGCTGACCGTGTATCTCTGGCCAGAGGCCTGCGTGGTGACGCCGGCAGCCGAGTCACACAGTCTGACGCGTGTTACTGGCTGTGATGTGCGTCTGTGACGCGTGTTACCGGCTGTGACCTCAAAGTAAGCAGGGGAACAAAAGTTACTAATCTCACGATCATGGGGAAGAGGAAGCAGATCGCAGGGCTGTGGGGTAGAAGACGCACGTACAGAGGACCCATGCGGGTCACACCCGTGTTGTTCAAGGCTCAGCTGTATTCCTCTCTCAACGGCTCTGCAGGCGCGGTGGGTGTGCTGCGGAAGGCACACATGTAAAGAGTGTGGTGGCAGGTGTGCACACGCGATGTCAACAGCACGTCACGTGGTGAATGTACTGGTCGCTCTGGAATGATGCCTCCGTCCCTTCGCCACTCTTCCAGTGCCCTTTGCGTCCCCGGGTGACTGCCAATCCTGTCAGTACAGACCAGTGTCAACCAGTACTCGCCCACCAGGTGCCACGCTGGGCTGGGGGACACGGAGGGGAGACACTGTCCCAGCCGCCCTGGGGCTCGCTCTCTGCTGGGGAGGACAGAAGACCAAGGAAAGAGTAGCGGGGACTGGACAGCGACAGGCCCTAAACTAGGCCTTCAAGTGAAATCAGGACAAGGATGGAGCCGTGTGGAAGTTAGGGATGGCGGTCCAGGCCTGCGGCACGGCCTGTGCAAAGGCCCTGGAGCAGGACCGTGCCTGGTGTGCGGGAGGAACAGCGTGAGCCACGGGGAGAGAGGGAGGCGGGGAGGGCCCTGCGGGGCCTCCACGGAATTGGCGGGGCCTCTGACTCTTATTCTGAACAGGATGGGGAATGCGGTGGGGGGGGGCAACGAGAGCAGGGAGGTGGCCTGACTTGCATTTGGGAAGGTCTCCGGCGCCCGGAGGATGGTCAGGAAGATGGTTTTGTTCCGGGGGCTTCCTCGGTGCGGGTAAGCCAAGTGTCATCGGCCCTGGGCAGCGGCAGCAAGTGGTTTGGGCGAAGCTGAACTCCAACACGGGCCTGAGGGTCCAACACCCTCCATGAGGGTCCCGTATTGTGGCTTTGACCTCTACCCCGGGGGCAGGAAAACACACGGGAGGCTCCTCCCAGACCACCTCAGGGCTCCCTGGAGTCGCTGCCCCGTCGGTATCTTACACACCCCCACTCACGCCCAGGCGCTTTCAGCAGCGTTGTGTGTGTGGCTCAAACGATTTCCGCCGACAGCACCAAACCTCCCGGTCTCGCGTCCCCTTACACGCGCACACACCTTTTCCTTTTTCGTCACCGTCTAGTATTCCATCCCTCAAAGGGGCCTGGAGTCCCTCGCCCACTTTCCTGCTAAGGGACGCATGGCTTTCCCCAGCTTTCCACCATCGCAAACCTTCCCGGGGGCCTCTCAGAGCCAGAGGTCAGCACGCTGGGCCCGTGACCTAGTCCGGCTGCCTGTGGTTGTAAATAAAGTTTTATTGGCATGTGGCCACACACAGCTCGTTACCTCTCGTGCGCAGCTGCCTTTGCGCTCCCAGGGGCGGAGCCGAGCAGCGGGACCCAGTGCCCCGGGCCGTGAGGTTTGTCCCCCAGCACTCGGGGAGCTCGCGGTGGACGCAGCTCTAAAGGGACAGACGGACGCCAACCCCATGCTTCCCAGACATTTGCTGTTTCCTAACATTTTATTTGGACATCGTTTCAGATTTACGGGCCGTTCTAGAATGACCTGAAGAGGTTTTTAAACCCTTCGCCCATTTGGCAAACACTGACATTTCACGTCTGCTTCCCTCTTTTCTCCCTCTCCCTGTCTGAGCCCCCCCCCAAATCCACCCAAGTGTGGGTCCCACGGTGCAGGGCCCCCTCCCTCCTCACAGCGCACCCGCCCAGCTCAGGAAATCGACAGTGACACAGATTACAGACTTGACTCCAGCATTAGTCACTGTCCCCAGTGGCATCCTCCGTTGTAGAGAACATTCCGGATCACGCCCATATCCTGGGACCCTGTCTCTCTAGCCTCCTTTACCCCTAGAGCATTCCCCGTCTTTGTGTCTTACGACCTTGACACTTCCAGGGGTCCCGGCCAGGCTTCTGTAGAGCGGCCCCCGAGCTGGGCTTTCTGCTGTGTTTGCATGACTGGGCTCAGCTTCTGCGTGGGGGAGGGGGTGGAGGGAGGGGCACCACAGGTAAGTGAAGCCCTGTGCCGTGTCCTGCCCAGGCGGTGAGCCCTGGTGGCGTGGCTGCTGTGGCACCTGGGGTTTCTCCCCTTGGTGACCCCTCCGTCGTGGGGAGGTTCTTCGAACGGACCCTGGTGCTCCTCAAAGAACA